GGTCTTTGGGCCTAAAGGAATTGCTCTACTAATTTTACCTCTAGAACATGTAGATATATATATGTAGATAAAACTTCATCATGTTCCTTTCTTGGAAAACTTTCAAGAATGAAGACTTGCCAAACATTATTAGTATGTAGCTCCTAAAAAGTAAACTCTGTATGTTTTTGAGACTACAGCAGGAATGGTTAGGAATATTAAATGTTAAAAAGCATTATAAAGACAGAATTAAGAAACAAATAAATGGGTGCATGCAGTTTCATAATTATGTACATAAACAGCATCTGTGTTCACAATGACTAATTTAGACAAGCAGCCAGCATATGAGATATATGAGTAATGTCAAAAATTAATAAATAATTATTTATGTTTTATTTAATTAAATCTATGAATGGTTCTTATGAATGAACTTTTTGGTAAATTGAGAAAACCTTTAAAATGACATTCCTTTTATTTTTTTTCTTTTTCTCTTGAAATAATTTTTGCATATTATTTTGAAGAATAATTTGCCTGATCTGTCTTTTTTTTTTTTCAGTTTTGTGAAAGATGTATATATATGTATCTGTTGGAATACAGCATTTGCTAAAAAGGTTAAACATCCTATAAAAGAACTTTTTATTACTTATTAATATGCAAGTTTATTAATAAGTAAGGTAAATGTGTTACAGACATGTCATAGGTGAAGAGGTAATTTAAAACACATTTGTTAAAGTAGTATTTCACATTTTGTTTTTGGGATAGGAGAATTACATCACTAATACACTTGAACTTAACTTTTTATCTAAAAGATTTCCTTTTACACAAGTCTAAAAATGAACTTAGAACAATAAGAAGTATTTAGATTGAGGCAATAATCTTAGTCATGTAGGACATCTTTGAAAGGTAAATTCAGAAGTTCTCAGCATGTTGTGTTAGGAGGATACACTAGAAGTCTACCAGATGCAGGGAAGAAGAATGTTCCAAACTCTGAAACATTGAGGCAGCTATAACACCTTGAGTTTGCAAGTTGCATTTGTATAGAGGGGTAGAGATGGATAGGTTACTTGAAGATAGGTGTATATTATTATTATAATGTTTTGAACAGGCATGAAATGATGAAGTGATCACTAGATAACCTTGTGAAGGAATTTGTTCCACTAACCCAGTCTTTCAGTTGTGTGGCCTAACAGAAAGGTCACTTGTCTTAGATGGAATCTAGGGACATTACCTGCCTGTACTGCTAACTGACAGCAGTGGAATACATTACCATTTAATAGGCATTTATAGTTTTATCTAATCTTAAAACCTCGGAATATTACAAAGTTTGAATCATACTTCCTTTATAATTACAGGTGTTTTATGCCATTCCACTTACCGGGGACTTAAGTTTTAGGTATATTGTAATACAAGAATACTTATATAGTAACACTTATTACCTCAAAAAGTTCCTGATGTTAAACATTTATAATAGGACAGTTGGGTGTGGGGGCTGGGGTGTGGCTTGGCTGTTACAGAGACTGTAATACAATGTGATGCTGGATATGGAAACATATTCCAGTATAAAAGTTAAAATTTGTATGAAAATACACTGTTCATAGTTTCCTGTATTTATAGTATTAAATAAAAGAGCATAAAAAAATTTTCTGTACTGGCCAGTATACATGGTTGAGCTTTAGTTCATTGTATAAGTATCCATAAGTTTGTGTTGAATGTTCAAGGTGAAACCTTTGAGGCTTTTGTGTGGTCAGTCCGCAGTCACATTTAAAAGTATCAAGTTCACTGAAACATAATCTTTATTTGGAGAGTTTTAATAAAAAGAACTCTTCAAGCACCAGAGTTCAGACTAATGTCATTAGAATTGAATAATGGTCGGCTATCTGAACCATGGATGGGACCCATGCAATGACCTTAATTATCTGTCAGACAATATCACAGAATGACACCTGTGTTTCTATTCTTTCCTTATTATGCCATTCTTCCGAGGGTGTTCGAAAAGATTGTGGACACTATTAGTCTTCATTATATTCAAGAAATTCAAGATCAGCGCATTATCATATATATAAATTCCCCCATATGATTATAAATGAAACTCATGTTATTTAGTTTTAAAGCATTGTAGGCTAGCATCAAAAACATAACGTCATGAGTTTCTCAAAAATTCTCTCCCTATTTACATTTCACACACAGTCAGAGCCCACACCCACTTATAATAAAAAATTTCTATACCACATATCATTTTGTTCCAGTAATTGTTAACAATTGTTTCAGTAGCATAATTCATTTTTTTAGCTCATAATTTGCTTTCACAAGATCCATAACAGTAAACACGGTGAAGTGCCCATCTCTTTCCATCAGGTTATTAACTCTTTTGATCAGATTTTCACTGATAATCTTGTTTCTTCTCAGACCATATATATCAACTAACGCAGAATCTCTACCACTCAAAAACTGCTTGTACCATTTACACACAGATGCAAGGCTCACTTTATATTTCATATTTCCTGCATTTTCAGAGTTTATTATGTAGTTTTTCTAAGTGCAACTCAATTTTGTATTAGTCGCTGCTCTGTGACTTTCTACAATGTCATATTTTTTTGCCTTTTTCAATGATGACTGCTTATCTGCTGAAATTGATTTCTTTTCAATGAAGCGTGTGTATTAATTAAGTCACAATTTGGCAGGTACAAAATAAATTAATGATTCTTACTTTGAAATTTACATTTTATTTTTCATTTCTATGCAATATTTCAGAGATACGACTACAGTAAAACACACTTATAACAAAGTGCCAGGGACGGACGATTTTGCTTCGTTATAAATATAATTTGTTGTATCAGTTAGTTCACATTACATTTTAAAGCCAAGGGGAATGAAAATCACTTTGCTATAAGCTTCAATTCATTATAAGCGTGTTCATTATAACCGTGTTTTACTGTACAGGCATTATGAAATGAATTGTTTGTAAATTAATTACTAAATTTTGACTTGCTCCATGATCCTATTTTCACAGTTTTAGATTTGTATACATGTACATATAAGTTTGAAATACCATTATATCTGTCGTGATATTGGAATATACTACAGTAAAACACATATAGCAAAATGCCAGGGACCAACTATTTTGATTCATTATAAACATAATTTGTTAATATCCATTCATTTCATACACAACGGATTTTAAAACTACAGGGATAATGAAATCACTTCATTGTAAGCGTAAATTCATTATAAGCATGTTCGCTATAACCATGTTTTACTGTATTGTTATTGAATTCATTGTGAATTTAAAACATGTCTACCAAATTTGGATATAATACATATATGACATTTAAGTAAAAAAGTTAAGACAGAAGTCTGTGAACTTTTGCAGTCCTCATACATACTTTAATATGCCAATAAAATATATTCTTATAGAATCAAATCGGACATTAAATTTGAAATTTGCAAATTGCGCAGTGTGTAATTAGTGATTTCATCAAATATAACACAAAACTCATAATTAAAATGATATGACAAATAGGGAGGGGGGATATTTGATTCTTACAACCTGTTTTATCCACAAATGTAAGCTTACATTCAAGTCCTGATTTATCATGTTAATGTCATGTATTTTTTAATGTATTTGGTACATTAATGTTTGTCAGACTAATTGTCTGCTTCTCTTATTAATGCAATAATCAGACCAAAACATTTCAACAAAATCAAGGACACACTCTATCTAGCTGAATTCAATTTTATTACATCACTTGTAATTGTACGTACTCTTCAACTGATGAACATTATACCTCTTTCATGTGTAAATCATCTTCATGCAGTTTTCATTATAAGATTTGATAGGGGGAGAAAATACCTTTGTCAGTTTTTGGAGTCTAACTGAGACTGTAGAATGCAGTTGATGCTGGTTTTAATGTCTGACAGTTTATAATGGACTATAATGATAGGTGTTAGTCCAAGCCTGGAGCTGCGCATTTAAAGAACACCCTGGGTGTTTATAAACTTGTCATTCAGAGAAATGATCCATGTTACTGGTTCACCATTTCATGGTTCAGATTTCTCAAAACAAAACATTTGAAAAGAAAACTTTTTTAAGTTAATTATCAAATTTGTCCAATTTCAGTTATGGTAGTGTAATTCTAATTTTGCAAAGGAACAGCATAACTTTCTGGGATCTGTTTCAGCACATTATGTTTGATTTAGCCAGCAAAGTCTTTGAATGAAAATAATATTTTGATGTTTTCCCCGATAATTTAAATTTCCTGAAAGAATTGATCTTTCATGGTTCTTGCAGAGTATGACACAATTTCTTACAATTTGATGATAGTAAGACATGTACAGTTGAGGTACATGTAACTTTACCTGCTGATTACATATCAGTAATATTTGTTCAGTATAGAAGTATGCGTAATGTGTACGTGTGAGAAGTACGTCAGCGGGCTCCTCTTCCAATGTGTAATAGATAGCGATAGGTCAGTTATTGAGACTTGTTTATCTGTGTAAACAACATCTAATACACCTGTAAAGTATTTTGTACTTTTTGTTTTTCATAAATGATAAGATGCTCATTCTTTGTCTGAAAACTCATATGTTTTTATTGTCTATTTTTTTAATCAATCTATACACATGAAGTTCAGAAAGCAAATTGAAAAAAATCCACAGAGGTTAGACAGGTTAAAGTAAGAGACAATGATGTTTGTTTTCATGGTTTGGGGATGAAAACCAGTCTGATATTAAAATTCAAATTTTTGCAATATTTCTTTTACATTGTCAAATGTGGTGAAATAATGTAGCATGGTTCAACACGTGATTCATTCTATTGTGTTAACTTGAGGTGCATGTGTAATTTGATCTCCACCAAACAAGGCCCCAGTATAGACTATATTACAGAGTCAAATGATTCTGCAGGGCATTCTAAGAGTTTATTTAAAAGGGAACTTTGGTGGACATATTTGGTAAACTAATTTAGTACAACTTTTTAGTGGATTCAAAGTTACTTTCTTGTGCTGTGTCAGCAAACATTTAAACTGAAACACTTCAATAGATTTAAATGTTCTACAAGAGAAGAAAGAAAAATAGGGACCATTCTGTACTCTGTTTGATTAATCTCTCCACACAACAGCTGACCGCTCCAAGCAAACAATAGGACCAGGTCAGTATTATATACTCAAGAGCTGTGGTCAGTGGAGCAAGTGGTCATCTAAATTTTAATTGGAAGGCCTTCATTACAAAACTCCTTTGATTTCCTCGGAGCTGGTCCATGTCACATGACATGTATAGAGGTGTCCCGGAAATACTCTGCTCATTATATAAAGTGTGTATTCAAATGAATGACACCTTTTGGTTGTTAGTGCTGGCACAAGCAGACGTCTTGGTGATGTGTCTGCTTACAGTGTGACAGTTGGTTTATCCCTGGCAGAGCTTACCTTGCTCTGTGTCAGTATTGGACTGATCAGGGAACCCAGTCTCTTCTTTTATCTCAGGGAATCAGATTTCTACTCCTGATTTAATTGAATGGAATATTGATTGATTGGAATAATTAGGTGAGAGCCGTACAAGGTTTGTACTGTTTGACTTATTGACCAGTACCTGCTGGAATAGCTAGAGAGATGATTGCGACTAAAGGGATCTAAATCCACCCTATTTATGTAATGAGTGATTTAATGAACAGCATTTACTGGAGTATTTTATATATTATTCAATTGTGAGTTTCGTTGTTAAATAGTGAAAGATTCATGCATTTTGTAATCACACTAAATGCAAATTAGATGAATAAATCTTTCAATTTTTACATTACTTTCCTTTTATATCATTTCAGATATTACACATCCAAGAACACCTTCGTTGCAGGCAAAACTATACGTAAATGGCTGTTGAAGACAATAAAGACGCCAAGATGGAGTCAAGCAGCATTTTAGAGAAACAAGTGAACAGTGACATTCTAAGGCAGGCAGCTTCCAAGACATTGTCTGTTGGGATCACATCACTGGAAATCTTCAGGAACAGAGTGTCCAAAAGGGTCAAAATTTTGGATGTAAAACTGTCTTTGTCCTACCAGGACAACTTCCAAACTGAAACGGAGAGACTTGAGAAACAGCTTGTGCGGCATGGAAAGAAATGGTCATGGCCACCTCCACAGGGGTCAAGGTCGATTGCCACTTTCCCTTATTGTCCGGGAGACAGGGTAAATTTGAATGTGGGACTCATTGTGCACACCACTAAAAAGCATGGATTCTTTAGCAAGGAAGTGATCACAAACCCTGCAGGAAATGCAACAGAGTGTATTGTAATGGCAAAAAATAATGGGGTGGGAATCGGGCTTCCTTTACACACTGTGATAAATCAGCATATCCGACTCAATTTTGATGTGGACGGTTACGGTCATCACTTAACGATGAAGCTGAGATGTGAGTTGTTAGGGGAGTCCAAGGCTAATCCCTCCCTGTGGCTGCGCCCCTCAACAGCTGACAAGCCATTCAGAACATCCTTATCTTTGTTTGACATTCTATCCACCTCTGAAAATTTTCCATCGAAGCAAAAATCAGAGGACTCTGGAAAGACGAGGGGGTACATTTGTAACAGTCAGAGGTAAATCTCAATGTCCACCCAAAAACCTGTTTAGAAAGAGGATTAAAAAATATAATATATAGATATATATTCATGTATTAATTTTCAGAATTTTTAGCAGTTTCATGTTTGAGAAAAAAAATATACAAGCTGCCAGTCTAACATTATATAATTAATTAAACATTGTAAAGTTATGCATAGCAGCCTCTCTGTTTAATCACAGTTTTTAGTTCCTTATCATAAATTAACTTGCGAAAACCTGGAGGTAAATTAAAATAGCACAGTGGAAATTTGTTCTCTTGTTATAAATGATGACTTGTTCACATTTGTCACATCAGCTGTTTTATTTTTGGTCAGGTTGGTGAATTATTTACGAACAGCTGTAACAGAATGCTGGTCATTTCGGCCATGTTGCTCCAATCAGGAAATTCCATCAGGAATACAGGTGCGACAGATCAGCTCCAACAAACCGGTCGCCTGTTTGATTCCTGTAGTGGAACACAGGGAGTATAATGTAAGTAAGACAGTTTATAGTCAAACCTGGTTATAATGTAAGTAAGACAGTTTATAGTCAAACCTGGTTATAATATAAATAAGACAGTTTATAGTCAAACCTGGTTATAATATAAATAAAACAGTTTATAGTCAAACCTGGTTATAATGTAAATAAGACCATATATAGTCAAACCTGGTTATGATATAAATAAGACAGTTTGTAGTCAAACCTGGTTATAATGTAAATAAGACCATATATAGTCAAACCTGGTTATAATGTAAATAAGACCATATATAGTCAAACCTGGTTATAAGTTTAGTAGGAAGTTGATTATATACTGTCCTAACTTTATTATAATTATAAATACATATATTTTAAGTGTATTCATTATAAGGATGTAACTCATTACAGATATAGTGAAGTAAATTCACAGGTCCCCAGTAGTTTGCTATAACCAAGATTTACTGTAACATACAGTGTATAGTCAAACTTGGGGCTCATTTTACAAAAGAACTTACAACTAAGACTGAAATCTTTAGTTGGTTGTAAAATCCTGCAAAATTAATGTTTCTGATAAAAATATGCTGGTATAAAAATATCACTCTTTCATTTTTTTTAAAGATTAAAACCATTTTCAAATAAATGTGAAAAAGAAAGTTATTCTCAAAATTACATTTTGGTCTTAATCGTAAGTTCTTTTGTAAAATGGGGCCCTTAGTATCTCAAACAAGGTGGGACTGTTAAAATCTGTGGTATATCCAGTAGTTTGAGATATTTGTATCCCTGTTCAGAACCGCTGACAGTGACTCACTTCGATGCCCAGGGTATTACACATTGATACCCAAGTTTAACTGTATTACCATTTTGGCCCGGGGTAAGAGTAGATGTATTGACCACATCTAGGCATGCATATTAAAGAGCCAGGCAATACCTTTTTTTTTTAAGAAAATATTTTTCTATGGATATAGTTGCAACCCATTCTGTTGAGTACATTACACTTTACTTTAGGTTATCCACTGTATACATGTATGAAATAAAAAAAAAGTTCAAGTAATTAAACTATTGACCTGTGTATCCCAGTATATAGGGAGTTACATCACAAAGAAAGGCCCTAGGGCTAACAGTGATGTTATCTACCCTTGGATTATAGATCTCTCCAGGTAAAATCCAAATCTGGGTCTGCGGTCATTAGAGTGATCATTCCTTTAACAGTCATATAGCATACCTGTAATTTTATTGTAATACATGTGGTAAGCACATGTTTAACTTCAAGGATGCAACCATCAGTCTTCATGTTCTTGTGATTGAGTTGCTGAGAAGTTGTTCATCCAGTAAATTATTTATTCATGTTGTCATTCATCTCACACGAATGGGCTTGTATTTTAATTAACATTTTTGATTATATTAATTAGCGAAATTATTATGGTAAACAAGATTTTGCAAGGACATTTAATAGTGCTGACATTTTACATTTGATAGTAAATGAAGTTTACACTCCGGTATACTTGTTTCTGGTAAAATAATACGCAGTTACGAGATTTTTTTTCAAAATTCATCTCTGCTTACAGTAATGATGCAATATTTTATGCTAGCATTTTAAATTAAATTAAATAATGAAGTGATAATGGTAAACAAAATTTTGAAGGGACATTTACTATTAATACAGACATTTCACATCAATGTATATATGAAGTTTGTTAACAAACATTTGAGGTTGTTCTTCATGTTCTTACAGTTAGAAGAAAATTATTGTGATATATTCAGGCCGCGCTCTTTTGACTGATGTTTGTTGTTGTATCTAGAGAAATCAAGATTTTAATAAAATTTATGACTTCTGACATTTTACAAAAATGCATTGCTTACTCGGCATAATGTTTGAGGATATTTGATAGTGCTTGCTTAATTATAAAAGTTATGATCATGCAGATCATTTTGAGTTGAGAAATTCATGTTTGAGGTGGAATTGATTAATGCTAATTGATGAGTAAGAATCATGATCTACCTGCACAACATAAGCATGAGAAATGTTAATGTCTTCAGACAATTCGTTAGAAATTTTCTGTATAGTTGATGGTATCTGATAGAGAATGTTACAAATTTGGTTTTACTAAAGTAAGTTAATGTATTGGTGCATTTATTTGATACAAGTTGAGAAATATTCATATATATACATGATTTAGGCATTTAGAAAATTCTTTTGAAATTGAAGTACAGTAAAACTTGGTTAATATAGCAAAGTTCTGAGAACCTGTGAATTTTCTTTACTAAATCTGTAATTCTTAATTTATAATATAAGTAGTATAATTAATTCGTTAAATTCACAATATATTTTCCTACTTATGACTACCAAATGTATTCAGGGAAGTTTTGATTACAAAATTTACCTTGGAGAACTAAAAAAGTTTTCTATTAATTTCATAAAATTTCAAAATATACATATTTATGAAAAATTATGTCAGTTCAAAATCTAAAATTTTGAGACCTTAAAAAGATTTGTTATAATAGTTGTGAATTTCATTTTTTTAACCTAGAGCTACAAGGACACAGAATCAATCTTGTGTATGTTCATTGTTCTGTAATATTTAACAAGGAATTGTTAACTTATAATTTTGTGAGGGACCCTAAAATCTTCGCTTTATCCATAAATTCACTTAATATATAATATTTACCCCAGTATACATTTTTGTACTTCATGAGTTAACTGTAGCATGCATTTTTACTTTTTTAAACTAGCCATTTTTGTCACATCTTTAATTCTGTTTTTATTTAAAATTGATATTTGTTTTATTCTATAATTGAAGACTAGGACAATGAATAAATTTATATGTAATGGCAATTTTGAAATTTCAACAGAATTGCTGTACATTTTCTCGCTATACTTGAAGCATCATGCAGATAACAAATGAATCCTGAGAAAGTATGTGTGTCATAAAGCAAAGGACAGTTGTTAGTCTCGCTAAATATATTTACATTGTATTTGAACTGATTTGATTTATTGTGCATTGATGTTGAAAAAAGTCACCGACATAGCCTATAATTTTTACGCACAAATATATTGCGCAAGTCGTGTAAATCAAGTTTGTATTGACGTATATGTCAGGCTCAACATCAGTAGATTGAAATCACTTGACAATCATGCTTTCCAGAAAGATTGATTTCATATTTATGGTAAAAATATGCAGAAATGTTAATGAGTTTTAACACAAAAGTCTGTACCTTGTTACCTGTATCACAAGGTCAAATCAATAATCCAGAGGTCACAAGGTGAAAAATCCCACCCATCAAAAGAATATCGGAGTTTATGTTAAATAAATGGCCTGTAGGTGAAATTATCTCTCTAGCTTTATGTAAGTTAAAAGGGGTCCATTTCTTTCGTTCTGTTAACTTTTAAAAGAAGTCACTGGGTCATTGAAAAGGGTCATTGAATATATATAGACTTGAGGGTTAATTATCACATGGACTTGCTGGTATAACATGGTAAAAGCACAAATTCAGAATCAGGGAATTAAGATTTCCCATCAAGGGACCGAAAGCATTGTTACATGCACCTGTATGTATCAGTCTTTTGTTGGAAACTTGGAATTATGATGAAAAATTTTACATTAAAACTTTAAATATAATTATGACACTTGTCATTAACTTACTCAACTTTTGAATAATTGTTGTGATAAATTAACTTTTAATTAGTTTTTATAGTAATGAGTTGGTACATGATGGTACTGATTCAGTGTACTAGATCAGTAAAGAGATGAGTGCTATAAGTTACGTAAATAACCTTTACTAAAAAAACAGCTGATACTGGGTGTCATAAATCCTAGCCTCATTGTGGAATCTTTTGAGTATGTGATATTAAGAGGAGAATGATAAACTGAAGGACATTTAATTCTGTTTGATATTCACAAGGAGAAATGAAGGGCAAATAAATTGCACCAAAACACTGGGTGTCTGTGCTAGCTTCTATCACTGTAACAGATTTAGGCCATTGGAGCATTTCAGCACCCATTACAGCGAGGGGATGCAGTCTTACAAAAGATGAAGTATTTAAAATTGTGGGTGTTGTATAGGAAGTGGGGAGTTAGAATTTTAGTAGATAATGGTGTACAATTAAAACAAGTATATAAATTTATTATAATTTTGATCAGTAAAATTTTGCATACATTATAAATGTAATAAAATAGGAATAATACTGTATAAATATTTTTTAACTTTGGAATGTTGGTTTAATTTCAAATGATTGTTTGGATCAACCAACCTAACCCTATGTTCAGTGTTTGTGACTCAGTAACATTCCAGCCATTTTTTTCTTAACATTCATTGATAAATATGACTTGATTAAATTCCGAACACTTACATGACCTCTGCCTTATTGAAATTCAATAGTATTAACAGGGTTTCACATTCAATGCCACAGCAGTGCAATATTCTTGACATTCCAAAACTGTAATTTTCTCATTGTTCTCTGAGAAATAGATTTGATTAAAGCATTGATTTTTGTTTTACAGGGGAAGCAGCATTTGAAGCTAGCCTTGTTAGTTGTCGGAAGTCGTGGCCCTTACTGTCTTTGTGCCACCAGGTGGCGCAGTGCAGGTGAGTGTACAGTCTGCACCATAAATGTCTAGGTATTTAGTTGGCAGTCTTTAAGTTCTCAGTGATAATGCACATTCTTAGCTTGTCTAAAGGAGCTTGAACTTATTAGGTAAATATTCTTATAAGATGCAGTTAATAAACATACAGGTCACAGATTAAAATTCTTCTCGAGATTAAATTAGGGTCAGATAAATACACTTATTTGCATTCATGTCTCATATGACAAAATGCTCTATAGGTCTTACTACTGCATACCACAATCAGAATAGGTATATGACGTGATGACGTAATCAGAAGTCTTTTTTAGATGAAGGACTGAATATCTGATGATTCATCATTTAGGAAATGTGTCCAAAGTTTGATAGACAGACATTGTAATGATGAACGTCAGTATGTGTTAATCAGACATCAGCTGTCAGTGCTTTACAGCTTGTCTTTTACCACCTAGCACACTTCCTGTATATACCGGGACTAGAAGTTAAATATATTAACCGCTACTATATATAGGCAATGTTAATAAGCAAGAAGGAAATGGCTTGTCAAAGCAAGATGTATAGTGCACATCAGTGTAAAGGCCAACTATCAGAATTATTCCTTTAGGTCCATTTCCAGTTTGAACTGGCTTTCTTGCTGTTTAAGTTTCATTTTTTTTAAATGCAAAAACCACAGTGCAAGCTGCTAGACCACATGCAAAGTGTTAAAAACACAATTGTTCCTAATGGAGGTATAATGAATAATATGTACCGGTGGCTAAGTATGATGCATATTAAATCTATTCATCACTAAAGCATTTGAAATATGAGGAGACAATTAAATAAGTCAAGAACTAATTACTGACAAGTTTATAAATAGTCAACAAAATAGAACTAAAACCAGAGGTGACTGATTTACTATCTTTGTATGACGGAATTGATATTCAGATTATGAATTCATTCTATTGCAGTTGACGTCATAATTTTTTTTTTTAATTCGGTAAAAGCTAAATATGTCACCAAAGACTAATGTCTCTGTTCTTTTATTTGATAATGTGTAGCTAAAAATAAAATTGCTAGACTTTTGTGGTTTTCTAATTGAATTACTACTTTTTTTTTTTCATAGATATATCTTAAAGTTTTACATTTTCAAACTAAGGGCTAAGGAATTTAATCTTATTAATAATATAATTTGAAATTTATTTCTGGATTGTTCTAGCATAAATTAGAAAAAAATGATGGACAGTTAGAAAACTGTATATTATTAGAGCACAGGGAAATTTTTCTTACCTTTTTAGCTCACCTGAGCCGAAGGCTCAAGTGAGCTTTTCTGATCAAAATTTGTCCGTTGTCTGTCGTCGTCGGCGGTGTCGTCGTCGTTGTTGGCGTAAACTTTTCACATTTTCATCTTCTTCTCCAGAACTACTGGGCCAATTTCAATCAAACTTGGCACAAAGTATCCTTGGGTGAAGGGAATTCAAGTTTGTTCAAATGAAGGGCCATGCCCTCCTCCAAGGGGAGATAATTACGAAATAGCAAAAAATTAATGGCATTATTGAAAAATCTTCTTCTCAAGAACCGATGGGCCAGGAAAGATGAAACTCATGTGAAATTATTGTCAGGTAGTGTAGATTGAAGTTTGTTCAAATCATGACCCCCTGGAGTAGGGTGGGGCCACAATGGACGATCAAAGTTTTACATTGGAATATATAGGAAAAATCTTCAAAAATCTTCTTCTCAAAAACAGCAAAGCAATGATTGGTAATATTTATTTGGAAGCATCCTCAGGTGGTGTGGGTTCAAGTTTGTTCAAATTATGACCCCCGGCGGTAGGGTGGGGCCACAATGGACTATTAAATTTTAACGTAAGAGTATATAGGAAAAACCTTCAAAAATCTTCTTCTCATGATCAGCAAAGCCATGATTGGTCAAATTTATATGGAAGCATCTGCAGGTGGTGTAGATTCAAATTTGTTCAAATCATGACCCCCGGGGGTAGGATGGGGCCACAATAAACGATCAAAGTTTTCATAGAGTATATAGGAAAAATCTTCAAAAATCCTCTCAAGAACAGCAAAGCTATGATTGGTCATATTTATATGGAAGCATCCTCAGGTGGTGTAGATTCAAGTTTGTTCAAATCATGACCCCCGGGGGTAGGGTGGGGCCACAATGGACGATCAAAGTTTTACATTGGAATATATAGCAAAAACCTTTAAAAATCTTCTTCTCAAAACAGCAAAGCAATGATTGGTAATATTTATTTGGAAACATCCTCAGGTGGTGTGGGTTCAAGTTTGTTCAAATTTTGACCCCCGGGGGTGGGGGGGGGCCACAATGGACGATTAATGTTTAACGTAGGAGTATATCGGAAAAATCTTCAAAAATTTTTCTTCTCATGATCAGCAAAGCCATGATTGGTCAAATTTATATGGAAGCATCTGCAGGTGGTGTAGATTCAAATTTGTTCAAATCATGAAATGGGGTTAGGGTGGGGCCACAATAAACGATCAAAGTTTTCATAGAGTATATAGGAAAAATCTTCAAAAATCTTCTCAAGAACAGCAAAGCAATGATTGGTAATATTTATATGGAAGCATCCTCAGGTGGTGTAGATTCAAGTTTGTTCAAACATGACCCCCGGGGGTAGGGTGGGGCTACAATGAACGATCAAAGTTTTACGTAGAAATATATAGTAAAAATCTTTAAAAATCTTCTCAAGAACAGCAAAGCCACGGTTTGTCATATTTATATGGAAGCATCCTCAGATAGTGTAGATTCAAGTTTGTTCAAATCATGACCTCCAGGGATAGGGTGGGGCCACAATGAAAGTTCAAACTTGTAGAGAAAAAAGTCACAGTTAGTCAAAAAATTACGTAAGCATCCTTAGTTAGTGTAGATTTAATTTTGTTCAAATCATACCCCCCCCCCCCACTCCCTTTTAGGGGTAGGTTGGGACCACTTATGCATTTAAGCTTTACAATACTAAACTGATTTTTCCTTTTTTTCCTAACCACAGTGCTCAGGTGAGCGATGTGGCCCCTGGGCCTCTTGTTAATAAAATATTTCTTTTACATTTATTACAGACAAGTTTGATTTCAAAATCCACTACTATGAGAAAGATGAAACTTGGGGACAGAGAATTAAATGGGCTGCTCGAGACTTCTTGGATATCGATCACATTATTACCAACAGCACAGCTCATCAATTCTACTTCAAACCCGAGAGGGAGAACCCCCTCATTGATATGTGTGTGGGACTGGCTTTGAAATTCTTGGTCCGATGGTCAGACGAAACCATGCCCTGGAAAATGGAGGGAGCTCGTGAGTTCTCAGAGGAGGACTTTGACATGTGCAATAGCGTTGAGGTAGAGTTGATGAGGTCTTATCATAGATCACGCACCTCTGTGAACCCATTATTTTCCCAGATTGAGAGTCTCCCAGATTTCTTAGAATCTCACAACCTCACATTGTTTGCTGATGTTACAGCTAAACTGTCTGACTATACTAAAGACATTCCGCCCGAACCAGAAGTCCCAAGAAGCAAGCTGACTCGTAGGGGCAGTGGCAGTAGTTACGGAGAAAGCAACCATGGTTCTGAACGCTACATCAAAAAGGAGCAGAAATATAGAGGAAGCACAAAGAAAGACTTGAAAAGAGCAGGCAGTGCAATAGAGACTCGCAATGAGAGTGATGGAGATGATTTCACGTCAGGATTTGTTGAAGGTCTTTCAAGTGGCCCAAGGTCATGTCCAGGCTCATATGTGGGGATTGAGTCTTTGATTGACTGAGGGGAACTTTTTCTGATCAGAATCATTTGACACTATATATATAACCATAAATTAGAGGATAAAACGATTTTATAGACTGTTTTTATAAGATAGATAATTATTTTGCTAATTATGTGATAAACAAATTTCAGAGAATTCCAAAGAAATTAAACAGTCAGCACTGTGTCCGTATTATTTCATCATTATTTAAAATGTGCTATCATTATTAATGGGAATGTCATTTATGTCATGTGTGAACTTCATAGGTTGTCCTACCACACTCATCTTTCCATATAGTTTTTATTTACATAAATTTGATCATATTGGTATTGTTTGTCTTGTGTTTATGAATTATGTCAGTTATGCAGATTTATATATTTTATTCTGATTAATTTGAAGATACAGAAAATAAATAATGTACTGACATTTTAGAATATTGTAATGCTAACCATATAATACTTGACTGAATCACAAATATTAGAGTTATAAAAGTGTATATCTGTTCAAATACTCAGGCAAATGTTGTCAGTGATGTAAATTAGAATCCATTTGTAAGTGAGTTTATGAAATAATAGTATGAGTGATTGAGTTCAGGGGTTATGGCCACATTGACTTGTTTGTAGGTTGTACATAAAATTCATATGTATATTTTGTTTTTGAGTGATCTTTTTTTTTCATCATGTATATTAAAAACTTAGTTTAGCTTAAATTTGTTTAAAGGAATTAAAGTAACTATGGATGAGATTGAGAAAGCATTTTTCTTTTCTTAAATTTTTTCTAGCAATAAACCTAAGTGCATTTATGAATTTTCGTTTTTCGCAAAGGTAGTCTTGTCAGAAAATTCTTTTTGAAAATTGAGTAAACCATCAAAATTAATGTGCGGTATTTTTAGTTTTACGAGCAGTTCCAGTGATTTATCACTATGTGGACAGTATTGTCAGTTTGTTTTGCATAGGTCTCTTCATACAAATTCAACATGTCTGAATATCTAAGTAGTATTGTTTCTAAAAAATAACTCTTTAACAAACTGGAACTAGGAAGCTGCAATTTTTTATGTGAAAAGTTTTCTGAATGGACTGCCATTTAAATTTTAAATGTACATTAGGTGAAGCATTAATTACCATGAAGTGCCTGATACAACTCTTTACATGTATTTCACAGAGCTCATGCATACACAAATCCCTTTTGCTAACAATTTGATTATTTAATCATCTCACATTTTTGTCATATCTTTGTGTACTGGTATTTTTACTGTGGAATTTGAAATGACAGTGTTTTCAATATCTCATCTTTTTCTATTTAAATCATGTATTTTTTGCATTTTTCATGTTTAGTCCTTTGATATGTTTCAGGGCTTTCCTGTCGAGCAATCTTTTTGGTGCCTACAATATAAAGTCTAAATATAACTTGCATAATTATAGTTCCGTAATTAGCTACATTCTTTTGTCATTTGATTTTTATCTTTCAAATGATAAAATTGATGCAAAAGCATAGAATTCTCTAAATTTCATTTTAAAAAAATTATTGCGTATTTATTACGAGTTGCTTAATTCATGAGTATGAATAATATTGAAACAATTAAAATTCCGAAAATTTTTAATGTTATATTTGTTCAAATGTTTTTGTGTTGTTCACTTTACCAGAGCTTTCTTACCACATTATAGTTTGTTTTTTGTACAGTACTGTAGACGATGAGTATATTATGTCCCTCTATGTACAAACATGTTGAGATTTCATCCATTGTTTAGTTTTAGCTAAATGTTACTGTGTTCAGTAGATAAAGCTGTGTGTCACAGATACAGGCACCTTGTATCATCCATTTTGTTACACCAAGTTACAGCTCAATAAAATTACAGAAATTATAATACATCAGTCTTGTTCAATGTTTTCTGCATAGCATTTTTATCAGTAGTGAGAATTTTTTTACATTTCATAGAGAACATAATTTATGGGTCACATCAAACCACAAAAACAACTCCCCCCCCCCCTCCAATGAAAATTGGTGATTTCACAGTTTTGAGTGGAAAATATTTTCTTTTGTCCAGTTTGACTTTTGACCTTGTGACCCTAAGACCAATATTGTCATCTACTCCTCAATGGGAGCCAGTGTAAAAAGTTTGATGTCTGTCAAGCAAATGGTTCTTGAGATATTCAGCAGTCAATCGTCTTTTTGGTCCCTCTGAAAATCAATAGGGGTCATCAGTACACTTTAAGAATCAACATACCAAGTTTCTGTCAAGCAAATTAAGAGTTCTAAAGATATTGAGCAATGTCTTCCTATTACACGAGTAGTTTCATCCTTGACCTTGTGACCTCAAATGTCTGTCATGCTAAGGGCTCTAAAGATAGTGATTGGACAACACCTGGTCTACCATATGACTGACATACTGCCCAACAGGTGCAAACCAATATGCCTTCTTTTTTCAAAGGGGACATAATGATATTGAATGCAATGTTTTTATTTTATGCACAAATGATACTGGTACATGTTCTTAGAGGTAGCTTTTCCAAGTCCAATTCTTAAAGAAATTTTGCACTTATAATACTTTTTGTCGCTATTTGAAGTGTACAACAGGTGAACACTTCTGTCTATCTGCACAATAGATATGGTTTGGAGCATACACTGACCAGTGTATCTAGCAATCACCTATGTGACCTATGTAAAATTGCCCTCTGAGTCATTAGGTAGCTTATTACACGTTTTACTGTAGATGTACACTGCAACTTCTTTCTGTTCTCTGTTGACTTCCATTTTCAATGGGGCAAGTTAACTGCAATGACTGCTTCAAGGATACTTACAAAGCAAACGGATATATAATCTGCAAATAGGGACTACAAAAACACTATGACAGTGCATCAGGAGGGGTAACTCTTGGACTATATTTCTGAAACATAGGAATGAACAATAGTGGTCTCCCCTGAAGAATAAATAAAGAGCCAATACAAATGTTTCATAAAAAGTTTTATTGCAATAAATATTAAAGGTAATAATCAGCAGTGATGTCTAACTAATTCAACAATAAATAGTATACATACTGCACATATCAAACAAAACGTAACACAGGCACGGTGAATAAAATACATTAGCAATCAACAAGAGGTAAAAATGTCGGATCCCTCAATAATCTATAAGGCATCTAACAAAGAACTGTTGATCTTCTGTAGAACTGACATTACAATACCCCATTATACCTACAAGTCACACACTATAACATTCTAATGCTCATATACTACTGCCCACGGTTGTCAAGAAAAACAAAATGACCAGACTGACAGTAAAATCGTGCACACTAGCTGAGACAAATATTTAAATCATACTAAAGCCAGCAAATGCCCTTTATCTAAAACTTGTTATCTTTAGTCTGAAATTAATTTTTATGAATTAGAGCATATTAAAATGCTAAAAGAAAATATATTATGCAATGGAAATTAAAGCACCACAGATTTATACTGCAAACATGAATATATTGGAGGGAGGGGGATATTTTTCCCATCAGTAAACAGGAAAAAATAAAATTCAAGTATCCATATTGTGTATTGTCAACATGATCTGTGTCAAAATCTAATTTATTCCTCCTCATCCATTTTCTTAAGTTTTCCTTAAAATATGGGTTAACAACTCTTTGAGATATCTAGTGAATACCTATATATACAGACAGACAGACAATCACAAGTGAAACTTAACTCCACCCAACTTCTCTTTAGCAGAGATAATAAATTTATATTTAATAATTAAATAAACAGGGAATCCACTCACTGATACAATGTTCCAGCCATTTTGTCATCAAACTTAAAGTACTCGGAGGTTAATTTTGCTCATTTCATTACACAGACAACCCCCTCATGAAAATTTTCATATTTACAATATGCTATCTCTTTTTAATACATTGTAGGAAATAATGTACAAGACATAAATTTCACGATGTCTATAAATATTACTGAAGTTTTCCATTTACAAATAACTGATGACTAGATCCAGGAGACAAAGTGCTGAATTGAAGAAGCCAGGAGACAAAGTGCTGGATTGAAGAAGCCCATAGACCACAATGCTCACCTGATTCATCTCTCTCTCTCTTCCTGGCAAATGAAGATAAAGACAATCCTTTTTTTGTGGCCATCAAATGAAGTCCATGATTTTAACACTTCAGGTTTACTGCTAGTATTGTCTTTAAAATTATTTGTATTTCTTTGTAAAACTTAACTCCCTTCTGTAAATATATTTAAAAGATCTTCCCCAGTGCATTGTATATTTTTATGAAAAACTTGGACCTTTTTAATATGGCACATCCAATCCTTTTCAATATGATTTGAAGAAAATTAAATCTACACTCCATGGAGATGCTTACATATTAATTACACCATTTGTGGACTTCTTGCACTTAGAAGATATAGCTTTGATCCCTTTTCTCTCCCCAAAACAGCCCCATGGGACATGATTTGAAAAAAAAAATTTAAGAGAGAAGCTTCCATTTAATTTTTTTTCTGTGCCAATGGCTCTTGAAAATAAGATATAAATGATCCAAACCATTTTCACTATTATTCAATTATCTTCTCTTGAAAAGGGGTGTGACCTTTCAGTTGTACAAAATTAATTCCCTTCACCCAAGGATGCTTTGTGTCAAACTTTGTATAAACTAGTCCAGTGGTTATGGAGTAGAAGTTCAAAATGTAAACTAAAAAAAAAAATACAGAGAAACAAGACAATGACCAGACTCTCCTCATTCAGAAAAACTCACTTGGTTAAGGTGAACTGAACAATTTTCATGTGTGTTGATACTATTAACACCCATTTAATAAACTGAATGTAGAGGTATATTGGTTGACTAAAATAACTTTGGTGAGAAATACATCAGTTTTTTTCTAATCTCACTATATATCAAGTGGTTTACATACTCTTTAGTACAGAATACATATAAACACTGTTTTTCTTTAACATGCTTCCAATCTACAATCCCAAGTCTCTCATAAAATAATGTCTATTTCAAAACTTTCAATTAAATATACAGTCAAACCTGGTCATCTTGAACGTGACAGGACCAAGATTAAATTTTGAGATATATGAGGATTTGAGATAACAAGGTTAAAAATCACGAAAAAGTGGTTGGGACTGCCAAATCACTTTGACATATCCCTGGTCTTTGAGATATAGATGTTCGAGATGACAAAGTTTAACTGTATGTATAATGCATTTAACTGATAACATTTGTACTAATGTTAACAAATAAGTTACCTACTGAACATCTTGTTGGCATTTTCCAATGGAATGCAATAAACATGGAGTTTCTGGGTTAACATCTTCAGACAGACAAGTACATTATTTTATTGTCACAAACAATCAAATTAGCACCCTAAAGTTTATTTATAAATATATCTATAAACATGACTGCTTGTATAAAAACCAGTCTGTAATCAATAACAAGGCCAAAGTAATGCTTTATTTTGTGTCCAATTTAGAAAAAAAAAAATAACAGAATAAAATTGTAGAACATGATTTTGTTTTGTCTGTCTTCAGCTTAGCTTGGCCATTATATGCTGTAGTAGTAGGTAACATAAGAGACTTCAGGGCCCTCAATGTGTTCATAAAAGGGGTAACACATAAGAGAATATAATTGTGTACCTTGATTTATGGAAAATTTATGGCTCCCTGTATGACTGCACATATAAATGTTGGCTTGAAAGTTTTGATTTTTGAGTCATTCAGAAGAGGAAACCATACCCTGCTTACCAGAAAACCCAAGAACACATATAATTAACAAGAGGCTCATAGGCCACAACACTCACCTGAGTCACTGTGGCCTTGCTGTTCTTTTATCAGCTGATTTTTCCCCATATATTCCTATGTAAAACGCGAAGCGGATTATAAAACAGCGTAAACTGACCCAAACTAGGTTATACTCGAATAATTTGGCCAAGAATTAGAGTCATTCCTTATAATTTAATTAAAATCATTAAATAACTAAGGGTGTAAAATTTCGTTGCTTTTTATTAGTTCAAATTTGCCGCTCAATAATACAACCGTAGTAACGGAAGTAACGGAAGTGATGGAAAGCGAGGGGAGGTAAAAACTGATGCATAGGCCTAGCGACAGCCTTGTTGTTTATTCATATGTGGTAAGATCAAATTATTGTTAAGTTAAAGGTACATTTATTAAATCTGGAATTTTCCATGAATCCCGAGGACTGGAAATGAGAGGATTTTATGGATACAGATGATTCAACTGTTTGTCGGGGGGGGTGTCCCCATACCAAACCAGGTTATACAGAAATAATTTGTGTTCCTTTTTGGATATTAACCAATCAGAGGCTAGAATACAAACAAAATTAAATTATTTTCCTTTGTTAAACTTTGATCACCAATTAAGCCCCATCCTACCCAGGGGTTATGATTTGAGCAAACTTGAATCTACACTATGTAATGAAACTTTCACGTGAGTTCCAACATTTCTGGCTATGTGCCTCTTGAGAAGAAGATTTTTAAAGATGTCACTAAATTTCACTAATTCTTTATTATCTCCCTTTGAAGGAGGACGTGGCCCTTTTTGAATACACATGAATCCTTCACCCAAGGATGCCTTGTGGCAAGTTTGATTAAAATTGGTCCAGTGATTCTTGAGAAAAAGTCAAAAATGTGAAAAGTTTACAGGTGGACAGACAGATGGACGATGGACTAAATCGGATCAGAAAACTCATTTGAGCTTTTGGCTCAGGTGAGCTAAAATTGTAGGATAAATTATAAAGCTTTTTTAAGTACAGAAAAAAAAAATAAAATGCATGAATTGCATAGTAACATCACAAAGTTAAAAAAAGAAAATACATCTTGTATTTGACAAAAGTAAACTCCCTTGCAAATGCTCATGACTTAAACAATTCAAAAATGTAAATATTCAAAATACACAACACCAAGAAAGAATATAAGCCTTCAACATTTTCTGAGATGATATTCATATCACCCACCTCATGTAAGTTGTGGATGTATGTCACAACAACTGCCAAAGAATGCAGCATCATGCAAATTTTGTCCCCAGTAGGCCTAATAACCTGATGTTTGTCTAGAAGTACATCCTTAACAAAATGACATTTTTTTGTCTGTGGCCACTCATAGTCAACTTCACAGGAGACATTTGACACATGTAACCGTTTTTCAGGCACACAACATGACAGACTACTTCCTTTGTTGGGCAGGTTCCCCTAATTTTTTTTTTCATATCTTTTAAAATGTTTAATGTACTTATTTAAGAGATTATTTAAATAAATAAATAAATTATGTTTTAAAAAATAATTACTTTATACATGAATATGTGCAAGGATTTTTTTTTTAACTCAGAAGCATAAGTAGCCCTACTTTCCATTTTGGAAAAAAGTTTCAGTTTTACACTTCATACTCATTTCTTTTTAAAAAGAACACTTGTTTAACTGCATGTATTAAACAGAGTCTGCACTAAAGAATTAAACTGTTTTAAAGTGGGGGGTATTCATTCTTGTACTCTGTGAGCGAAAAAGCAAAAATTGTGGAATGTTTTCAACATCACAAAATTTGTGTATCTGAAAACTATGGTAAGTACTAGGGACAAAATTCTACAATAATCAGGTCTGTGATCTACACTTGAAGTTTTTCAAATCTATATTATTTACAATTATATCATGGAAAGTTTGAATAAAGAAATGATATGAAAACCATGATATAGAATATATATATATATATAGTGAAATTGTAGTAAAAGTCCACAGTATAGGTAGGTTATAAATTAAAATAAAATCCAAGATAAACAAACAAGTTCACATTTAATTATTACACTAAGCGCTTTCGCCGTGAGGCTCTTCAGAGTGTAACAAAGTTTATAAAAACAATACAACTTGGTTGTAATGACGTCGTTATTGTGACGTCATAAAGGCAGCATTATATATTGGCGCAGGTAAATGTCATTAGGGCGCCAAAAGTAGAGAATTGAACATATGTACATTGTGATGAAATAGACTGCTAATTTTAAGCTATAATGTTCAATTTACATTTAGTTTAGGTTTAAATAATTTAACAAAGTAATCTTCCTTGGCTCTCCGTAATTGTTCATTATTTTCTAGAACTTTATAAAATGGAAATATTAAAAAGTTTCCATTCGCACATGAATCCAAATGTTCACTGCATGGCGTATTCCTGACAGAAGGGTCCCGTATTTGTTGTTTATGGACTCTTACGCGGTCAGCTAGTTTGTTACCGGTCTGTCCAATGTAGTTCTCCCCACATGAAGTACAAGTCATACAGTATATTAAATTTTTAGATTTGCATGACATATTCGCATTTACGGTAAATGTTTTACCACATTTAAAAGTAAACGTCTCTCCTGTTTTTAGATAAGGACAGGTTCCACATAGGGGGTCCATACATTTGGCCACTGTGCACATGTCTTCATTTGACGAAAATTTGGCTCTTGTAAGGAGTTTCTTCAGGTTTGGGGGTTGGCGTCGGCTATAGATTATGTTCTTCAGGTCAATTAATTCCTTTAGATTTTGGGATTGTTGTAGAATGGGGAAGCACTGTTTTACGGAATTGTACATATTAAGGTTCCAGGGGTTATGTGTAACGACAAGCGGGATTTCTTTATTGTTTTCCTGGGCCCCTGCTCTAGTAGAACTCCGGAGATCTATAGTTGGTATTGACTTGGCCCTTTCAATAGCGACGTCTATTAGATCATTGGGATATTTTTGTCTAAGTAAAAAAGTTTTCAATTCCTGTAGACGGCTGTTTCTTCTGGTTTCATCTATGACAATGGTACAAACACGTCTTGCCATATTAAAAGGTATGTTACGTTTTACGTGTGAAGGATGGCAGGAATTAAATACAAGGTATTGGTGGGAATCCGTTTTCTTGTAGTATAAATCTGTTATGATTTTACGACCGCATAAGAGTCCATAAACAACAAATACGGGACCCTTCTGTCAGGAATACGCCATGCAGTGAACATTTGGATTCATGTGCGAATGGAAACTTTTTAATATTTCCATTTTATAAAGTTCTAGAAAATAATGAACAATTACGGAGAGCCAAGGAAGATTACTTTGTTAAATTATTTAAACCTAAACTAAATGTAAATTGAACATTATAGCTTAAAATTAGCAGTCTATTTCATCACAATGTACATATGTTCAATTCTCTACTTTTGGCGCCCTAATGACATTTACCTGCGCCAATATATAATGCTGCCTTTATGACGTCACAATAACGACGTCATTACAACCAAGTTGTATTGTTTTTATAAACTTTGTTACACTCTGAAGAGCCTCACGGCGAAAGCGCTTAGTGTAATAATTAAATGTGAACTTGTTTGTTTATCTTGGATTTTATTTTAATTTATATATATATATATATATATATACATATATATATATATATATATATATATATATATATATATATATATATATATCAGAACATTAAAAAAAAATCTATATAATCACATGCAGAAAAATAAATACATACATGTACATTGTACAGAAAGTGCAAAACTTACAGAGATTTAATGACCATACCTTATGTGATACTTTTCTTTAGTACTGTAGTGAATATTACCTGTATATTTCACTAAAATGTGCTTGTATCTAAGTTGTAAGAGATAATATATTACAAAAATTTCACTAAGCACTTTCTAATTTTTATAAACTGCTAATCAAGAGACATAATCTAACATCTGAACTTTAGATGGAATATCAAATCAAACAACTGCACTAATTACACACCCTTTTGCTACCTAAACATAACATAGTTACTGTTATTTTAGATTTATTTTATAGTACCACAGTAATATCTTAAAGGGGTATGGACACACTTGCATTGCTGTTTTGCTTAAAATTTTAAAAAATTTTAAAAATAGCTTCAGTTTAATGATTGAAATAACATGAAAAATTTTAATTCTCAATGACAATGATGACATAACCTTACACCAACACCTGTGTTTGTAAACATTGCCAAGAGCCCTGTTATTAGTCCCCTAAGGGGAGGGGGGTATATGTTTCCTCCTCATCTGTCTGTCTGTTTATCTGTCTTTCTGTCTGTCCCACCTGGTTTTCATCACTTTTTTTCTAAACTCTTGTGGATATTAAGCTGCTATTTGGTATGGAACTGTACCTTGATGAGTTACAGATCAAGTTTGCTTTGATGATTTTTAACAGAATTAGTCTTTGTAAATTTTAAAGGGAACCCACTTATTTTTCCACACTTTTTTCCTAAACTCTTGCAGATATTGAGCTGATTTTTGATATGTGAGTCTACCTTAATTATTTATAGACCAAGTTTGCATTTTTCACACTACATTGATTTTTGACGGAATTACAGCCTTTTTAAGGAAAACCAGATTACACTTGCCGGTAGCAGACTAGTACTGCTTATGCAATACTCTTAGAAATTCTTGTAGCTAATGTTTTATGTTTTAATGGGTATATTAAATTTGCTGACATCATTTACATCACTGACCACAAGCTGACAAAACTTGAGGGTTGGTTTTCTTTTTTTGACCTTTTCTTGTTATAGCTATTAAAACATAGACTTTCCTCTTTCCTCAATTATTAAGAAAAATTTTAGTTCTTGAAAAGGCCAGGATGTATGACAATTAAACATGCCCAAAATTCTTAGTATTGATAATTTTTAAATAAAAGAAGTTTAAAAACAGGTTTTTATACATATATATATCAGTCTTACACATTATTCATTCTTGCAATATGTAAGTCAAGAAATTCTACCAAAATTTTTGAAGTTGAAAACTCAAGAAATTCTACCAAAATTTTTGAAGTTGAAAACTGTGTCCATGCCTCTTTAATGATATTAGTCAGCTAAATTTAGCTATCTATACCAGTTGTAGGACTGAATCTTCAAAACGCTCAGAATTAAATCCAATAATTCAACCTTTGTATCAAATCAAAAATATGAACACTATCTCAAGCATCTAATCTAACATCTAACATCTCAACCAAAGTGCAAGTATCAAGTCAAACATCTAAACTTAACTCGAGCATCTAACATATTAAGCCTACCTTGAGTATCAAATCTAACATCTGGACCCTACCTTGAGTATCAAATCTAATAACATGAGTTAGATGATATAAATAATGACCTAGTATCAAACTCGTGTGAGTTGTTGTTGTTCCAGTCTCTGTTTCATTTTTTTATAACACGCAGAACAATAATCATTTTGTTCTGGACTTCCATAAAAAGCACAGCCAGAGGTTTTGCATGTTTTAGCAGCTTTGGGTCGATCTACAGGTTTGACAATGTCTGATGCAGGTCGTCTGTTGGACTGGGGAGATGTGGGGGTGGGCTTGGTCACAGTGACAGGAATCTCCTTGAGTCTGAATGAATAGTCCACATTGTCATAATCTGGTGATGGCGTGCGAGCTCGGAGTGGGTTTGACAATGAGCGGATATCCCTTGTCTCTGCCACAGGAACTGTCTTTGTCGTGTTGCCATGGGAAAAGGACTGTGGGCGTGGTCTGACCTCAGCCTGGGTTCTCTCAGGCGGGAGATTAACTGTTTGGGGAGTCAGGTGGACGGGATTAGCAGTTGAGGTATTTGTTTTATTGCCCTTAGGATCCTCCTCCTCTGTTGGTAAATAAAACTTTGATTTCCCATAACTTTCCACACCATCTGTCTTCCCCTTTGTGTGATTTCCACTTTTGTACTTTTCCTGCATCTCAGCTTCCTGCTTGTGGTCATTAAAGCACTTGGAACACATGTAATGAGTCTCAAAGTTACCATACATCTTACAGCCTGGAGTAATACATTCGTTGTTTCTATCGATCTCCATGGATCGCCTGCGTATCTCCTCACCTCTTGCCTGCATCTTCTGTCTGTCCTGCTGGAATTGATGCCTAGCATCCAACATGTAATTTTTGATCATTTCCTTGTGCACTTCAGTCTGCTTTGTGGAGACTTTGGCACAGAGAACCAATGACTGTTCCTGCTCAGCCATGGCTGCTATAGTCATGGGTACACGTGTACTTTGAGTTAGTCCACTACCCACTGATCCTTTTTTATTCAATTTCTGCTCTGGTCCCATGCTCTTCAAGGCCTTCCCAACACTGCCAAAGTTCTTTTTAATCTTTTTGTTGATACTTTTTCCCAAACTCCCAAATTGCTTGGTGACACCAGTGCCCTGCTGTGAGCTCTGTTTATCTTTTTTCTTCGTGTTATCATCAGATTCAAAAGAACCTCCACTTCTCCTGTCACAATCGCTATCATACTCCAGATGGGTGGCTGGAAGACGCTCTATTTGTAGATAAGATTTCAGTAAGTTTATTCTGTCCTCTTCGCTGTACACCATTTTGCTTTGAGATTCTGGGGCACTGCTTTTGGTTTCCCAGTTATATGAAGGCCCAGGGTCTACTAAGAAATGTATCGGGAGTATCTTCAATGAGGGATCAACCAATGGGATTGCAGCTGAAATAAAGGAGAACAGGTCACAAAGACCATCTAAATCACATTGGACTAAGTTTTGAACAGAACTGTAAACAGGATATTACATATACAGAAAAACACACTACCGGTAATAACAATGTTTCAGGAACTGACGATTTTGCTTTGTTATAGACATTATTCGCTATATCCATTAAGTTCACAATACATTTTATAGCCACAGGGAATGAAAATTACTTTGCTTTAAGCATCAATTCATTTTAGGTGTGTTCACTGTAAGTGTGTTTTACTGTACTAAAATTCTGTCAGAGTCTATTGATTTTGCTCATAAGGCTGTTCTATTTCAAAAATATTGAAAAGCTTTCAACAGTCATCAGAAGAATGATTAAAGCTTGTTGAAAAAAATATCACACAATAAGTGGAGTCAATGCAAAATAAAAATGATGATAAATAAGCAGAACGTAATGTAATATGTTATTTGAATAATCAAACAACTCAATAACTCACTTGAAAGACTGTCTTTTTCATCTGTTTCCATAGGAACTAATGCTGAAAAATGTGCTGCATCATAAGTCAACAGCAGAGGAGACTGGTAACAGGTCTTAGGTTCACATTCCAAGGGGAGATAAATCCCTATAACATTGCAAGGATACTTTTCAAATATACCTCCTATAAATGCAATTCCATTAAACAGTATCTAGGTATAACAAAAGTAAGTAAACAGTAGTCAAAAATATTTTAATAAAGTAATAATTTTAAAATAATCTATTAACTTAAGAGTGACATCTGTATCTTATACAATCTTCCTACACTATACCTCCAAATGGTATAGGGGCTAAAGCCTCCCCCATCGAGTCCTTTAGTACTGTATCAGCCACAATGACAATCGTGCGTTGTAAGATATGGGAGAGCACAAACACATGGAACTCCTCCAAGCTCTCATAAATCACGGGGGAATTCTCATCGCTGGAAAGTGAAAGAGACATTATATTACAAGATGAAGCTTTAATTAAAATTATGCTGGCTTCATCTTCAATATATGCATTTTGATCTTTGGGTAGATATGCCATTAAATTTTTATCTCAAAGTAAAATTAGAAATCCTTTAAGGATATCGTGACCAGATTATGAAGTTCATATACATGTGTTTTAACAATTATATAATATAAAATCTTGATTATCCCAACATACATACTTACAGTACAGGCAACGCGGATCCCGTATTTCCCGCGCCCCGTCGCGGTATAAACACAACGCGGGATTTGGCCAGGTGAGACAGGTAAACCGCGTTCCCTCCGCGGGAAATTCATCACCTACCTGTCCCCGCCGCGGTTAAATCATCGATCAACTAGTATCGTAAACAAACGGGAGTTATCTCCCCGAACGAGAATTTGCGAAATTTTCATGTAGTAACAAAAAATAACTACAGAGTATGTTTATTTATGAAAGTATTTTCCTTTGTTTTGCAACGATGAATAGAAAATAATAAACATACTCCTAAAAAGAATTTGTAAAGCAGAAGATGTTATAAACTTTTTTAGATTTGTATTTAAAACTATTTGCATGTATCAATGCTAAGGCGACATCTTTCGTTTAAATAGAATTATAAGCTGTGTTATTTGAAATTTTAGCATGAAAAAAAATTAAATGATGGGTTTATTAGCTCTAAAAAGTCTTTTCAAATTATATGCGAATTGCAATAATGATGTACACGTGCTAAACAATAATCAGTGCGAGTTCCGATTAACAATTTTCAACACTCCTATGAAATAAAAAAGGTGCATCTTTATATTGTTTATGTTTTTGTATTTTTACCAAATTTAGAACACTATAATTCACTAAATTAATCTCGCTTTATTGTACGAATGTGCAAGCATTTTTCTGAAAATGTCAAATTACTGGAAAGCTGTAATATTCGAAGTCGAGAGTGGGCACGTAAACGGTATACAAGCTATCAATAAAAAAAAAAACTATCATCCTTTCTTCACCTTGATATTTAATTCTTTGGTAAACGATGATTTTTAAAAAAAAAAAATTATTTCTCCATTTACATGTTCAATAAAATAACATAGGATGTGCATGCATGGTGATGAACTCCAGAGAACAAATATAAAGAAGGGAGATATTTTACACTCACAACACTTTTATTTTCAATAATATTCAAGGAAAAAATCAATTGCTAACGTATACTTTGACAAATTTTGTTTCTTTGTGTATTAAGTATTAGCCGCGATCATTTCCTGTGTATAGGGATTAGCAGACCCAGAGCAGGAAACGGCATGCCCTGGGGGTTTCACACCTGTGAGTGTCCTAGGGTACCTGAGGTAAATCTCTCCGAATGCGCACATCGTTGTCTAGCCATACGACATACCAGTCCATTCAATGTCTCATTATTTCTTTATTTTCAACCAAGAAATTTGAGACAATATATTCACAGTTGCCTTTTTTTTAAAAATCAAACTTTTTAAACAAATTAATAGAGTTGAAAAAAATAAAATAAATCAAATCAAATTATGTTTTATAAGTACATGTATTTTGTTTACGTCTCAGTTTATACGTTTATACATGTACCTGTACATGTAAGTATAATTTGAATTAGTTTCAACCAAAAAAAAAAGGAAGAGAGAGAGAGAGAAAACATACAGAAAGTTACATGTACGGCACGTGCATCGTTTTTCCTGAAATCAGTTTATTGATTTATCGATTTATAATTATAATTTAAATGAAATTGCTTGTGAATCAAATTTTGTTCGGTTTCAAAATAGTCGTTTCTGTGAACGGATAGGTATTACTGTAGCTGATTTATCGGTTTATTGACCAGTAAGCACTTTGTCTAATTCTGCCAGTTAATGAAGAACACGGGAACAGTGATAGCCACAGACACTAATTTAACTAAACTAACTGCTTGATAAGAGATTGATTCCAAGACACTTATTTACAAGGTCGCCAACATTCTTCATGATGTAAGATTACGCAATCTGACAGTATTACAGGTATTTCGTAAGGGTATGGGCCAGTTACACAGACACCTGAAAACTTGTAGCCTACCGCTGATTATAATTAGTTCATCTACTATGCTGTATGTTCAAATTATTATTTAGGCTCATATAAACAGCTTATAAAAGAGCCGTCCTTTCTGATTTGACGATACATGTACGTGAAATTTGTTGAAGAGCCGCATGATTATATTAATTTCAAAAGAAAGGAAATAGAAATACAGTCAAATACTAGCTATGAAATTATTCTGAAAAGAATGTAACGATTTTATTTACAACAATAACCAAAAAAAAAAAAAAAAAAAAAAGATCATGTTGATATTTCTTCCGTTTAGCGCATATTTGTCAGAAGTTAATTGTGCAACATATTCCTAAATGTACACGTGTATATTCTTTAATATCATAATGTTACCATCTCTATCTAGCATCGTTTTTCATGCTTATACTTATAACAGATACGTATACAGAGGCATTTTTTCTTCAAGAAACCAATGACCGTGATAGAATCTCACAGAAAAATAAACGCATAGCTACATGTAACCAAGAACACAACCACACTGGCACTGGCAAATCGTGAACACTGTATTTAATGCATTTTAACAGAAATGATATGGCATTTTTAAAAAATCTATTTTACTGTGCACTATTTAGCAATTTCATGATCATTTATATTGGAATTATTGATTTTAAAAAATATATACGATATTTCAGTTGACGATATTTCATCAAATTTTACCACAAGCACTGGCATTATACGTTCTTTTTTTAAATTTGAGAATTAATTAATTTTGAATGACTTTTAAAAAAAGATAGATAAAAAATAATTACACAAGTATTATTATACAATTTGATAATACTTAAAAATTGAATTAAAAATTCATTTAATTAATGCAGGCCGTAACCTTTAATGGCTTACACCCCCCCCCCTTTTTTGACGCTATTAAAAATCGACAACACTTTACAGGAAACAACATCTAAGATAAAGAATAACGGTAGCTGGCCCCGCCGCGGTGTACACACGGTCGCAGGTAGTACCGCGATCAAAACCCGCGACGGTGTAACGCGGAAAGGATTAACACACCGCCGAGGGAACGCGGTCTAATACGGGATCCGCGTTGCCTGTACTGTAAATGTTGTACTAGGACATATTATTTGTAAATTCAAATGTAAAAGTCAATATACAATTTGGTACATTGTATATGAAATATTGCATCATAATTTACATGTATTCATACATGAAATTTTAATCTGACTTTGAGGTTTCCTTGTATACTTGTGAATGTGTCGGACAGATATCAAACCCCCAAACCATGGTGTTACGTACTCGCTGGAGTTAGTTATGGGGCTGTCACAACAGCTGCTATTCCGCCGAATACCCGGTAATAGCCGAGGTTTGGTGGAGGCTAACTTCAGTACACTATTCCACTCTGTCTGCCACTCTTCCTCCGAGAATATTAGACCAGCCTACAAAATAATTAACTTAACTCTACATATGTTGTAACACTTCCTCCGTGAACATTACGCCAGCCTACAAAATGTTAATCCAAGTTAAATTTGTTGAAAAGTAGGTCAAACTTCAATGTCATGACATAAAAACCATAGTACATTTGGAAAGATCTTGACACAGATAATGCACATGTAAAATATGAAAGCCCCGTCTTTTTAGGTACAAAAGCTATAGCCAAGGTTAAATATTTGAAACTAGGTCAAACTTCACGGTAAAAATAAATAGTACATTTAGAAAGGTATTGTCACAATTAGTGCACACTAGAAATATAAAAAGAATGTTTTACTTCTAGGTCAAGGTCATGAGGTCAAAATTCACAGTATATACAAAAAGATTTTCTCATAGGTAATACACATGTGAAATTCAAAAGCCCCATCTTCTCTCATTCAAAAGTAATGACCAAAGTTCATTTTTTAAAAAGTAGGTCAAAACTCTAAGGTCAAAGTCAAGAGGTCAAACATCATTGTACTATCTGAAAGGTATTGTCACAGGTAATGCACATGTAAAATATGAAAGTCCTGTCACATCTCATTCAAAATTATGACCAAGATTGAAGTTTTTGTGCAGACAGACAAATGACACTTTTGCGAAAGTGGGTGACATTACTTTTTCTAGATCTGTTACTGAGAATATTAGATCAGTCTACAAAATAATTCAGTTTGTCTAGATCTATATTACTACTTATATACCGAGAATGTCTAAATCTTCTACTGATCTGATACAAGTCCTAGATCAGGACTAAAAATATTTGAAAATGAGTACATGTAAGAAATCCCTGTTTGTAACTTTATTTGAGTGATTAATCATCATTTACTTTATATCAGTATTGAAATTCATTAGCTTTGAACATCAAATTAAACTGTAAACAGCCACTGTAAGTATTTCTTTAATACAAACTAAAACACTGACAGTCATTAGTAATCTTAACCATTCGAGATTGAACCTTGCCAGAGTGACCATATGTAAAAATGTTTACATGTACATATTTACTTGCATATAATTAGACAAAAACAGTTAGCTTAAAAGTACACAGACAAGTTATTAAGTCTTAAAATCCTCACCCTTTGTCCCTAATATCTGAAGATAGATCCATTTCTTCACTATCCCAACATACAGCTAGAGTTTTGAATATGATGCTGTTAGTTTAAAAAAGTACTTAAGTGACAGAAAGTTTTGACAAGAAATTCCTTAATCTTGATTTTTTTCTTTGAACATATGCACATACAACCCTACATTTCATTTGACAAATGTATTTTGAATTCCTCTTATTACCCCTTTTAACATAGTTTGTAGGCATATTGAGAAAAAGAAGTGGGGAGATGAAAGGGGAATACAAAAAAAAGTTGATGGAAAACAAGACAGTAAAAAGAATTACATGAAGGCACAAGGCACATTTACATGTATATGCAAAGTCCTGTCAACTTGACAAATTCTTTCCATAAAAATACAAGAAATTTAAAAGACTCTTTCAAAAAACATATCCAAATGTTTTTCCATACTAAGACAAATGTTTTAATGGTTTTGGGTTGGGAATTTTAATATTAGAATTAGAAACAGAGATTGTACAGTTGATGCCATTTATGAAATGTTTTCATGCATGTAAAATCTTTTTTCTACTTCATTCTGTTCTCAAATACAATTGCATTAAAATTATCTTGTGGTGCACTAAGTTTGAAAAACACAGATTTGACAAGCTACATGTATGTTAAATATGTATATATATAAAAAAAAAAATCCTTAACATTTTCTTTTATGAAAAACGTACAAAATGCTGTATAAATTTTTCATTAAAAAAACCCCACTGTATCACTTTTTATGCTATATTTATTTTTTCATGTGTCCCACTTTATTAAGTTTATTCTACATATTACCCTCCAATTAAAGAGAAGCAAGTGATCTGAATATAATGTGCAGGATTTACAGTGTCTATATGAATAACAAAATGCACAAGTTGCAGGAGATGAGGATATTTTCAACAGTTGATTTAGAAAATTGCAGAAATTACAGATGATAACAGTTAATATAAGTTTCTGTCTATTTTCTCTGTTAATAGAGTTGTCTCCCTCTAAATCTCTTACCTTCATAACTCCTTTTGTCCTTACTAACAAATCAGAAGCTATGTGTTACAAATAAGATCAATATTATAAAGTTAACCATATAATTCACATATCATAATATGTATAGGATTTACATGTAGCATGTTTTGAGATCAGTTATTATTCCATCCAACGAGTTGTGTGTTTCTTTACAGAGCCTACAGCAAGGGAATAGAAAAACACAGAATTTGTTGGATAAAATTCATATCCAATCCCAAACCTGTGAAATTTACTCTAATTAATTTTTAATCACATTCTTTTACCTACTTTTAATGGTTTTTATCCCCTTTCCCCTTTCTCCCTGGCTGTATTATGCCTCATAAACAATGTAAACAATATTACAACACTAAAGATGCATGTTAAAATTTGAATGAGCCAACAATTCCTTTAGAAAATATCTTCCATTTCATTAATGTTATTAAATAAATCATTATTTTATCATGATCTGTGTTTTGCAATGCAAACAGATTATTTGCTTACATGACAACAAGGAGCACTAGTGTACAAAATATGGGATATAAAAAAAATGTCCATTGACTGATATTCACTGGATCGAGAGATATACTAGTACATGTATGTATGACAAAGAGTAATAAACATATACTCACACTAATCAATAGAAATATATGTGTAAACATACCACTCCTTATTACATAGATCACACTAATACACAAAACTCAACCAAAAAGAATAAGAGATCAACTGGGAGAGTTTCTATATGAAATGAACGATGTCAGCTGATCCTGGTCTTACCTCTTCATTCTGTAGTGTCTGTTGCCACCTCCACCTCCTGTATAAAGCATGTCTGTACGGCTTCTTTGTCAAGGTTTCATAGAGTTCCTTCCTCAACATCAGCTGACGATCGTGGATTCCCCACATCGCTGTTCAACATAAATTGTATCAAACATCAATCACAAACATAATACATATTTTGTGGGTTCTTAATTAATGGGATTCACTTCACCCAAAAATAGCGTGTGCCTCTTTGCGCCAAGTTTTGTTGAAATTGGCCCAGTGGTTCTTAGAAGATTTCCAAAATGTAAAAGATTGAAAGATAGACAATGGACAAACATCAATCAGAAAAACCTAACTAGAGCCTTTGGCTGAGGTACACTAAAAACATTAACCAAATAGAAATATGTCAATAGATCATGAATGTCCCACCCGGGGTTCATTAGTAAAGCAACATGAAAATTTGTATTAGTGTAATAAGTTTGATGAAAATATTGTGAATAGTTTCTATAAAACTGAGTTTTATGCACAATAAATAGTAAAGTTAAAGGTCATTGGGAAGGTCAAGGTAAAAAAAAAATTGGACACAGTTGGTAAATTCTCACCAAATAATGCATCAGTGCCTATGCTTACATAAAAAAGTATCTTGAATAGTTTTCTTTGAAACTGAGCTAAACAAATTTAAGAAAAGTGAGATCAAGGTCAAAGGAAAGGTCAAGGTAAAATTTTTTGATGCAATTGGATAGCTCTCATGTAAAATCACAAATTTTCGTGGGGTCAAGTTTTCATGATTTGATGAAAAAATATGGGTTCTTGGGGATTTTATTTTGTGGATGAAGAATTAATGACTAGTAATATATGTGAAATTTTGAATTTTGTGGTGGATATGAATTTTTGGGTCTCTTCATACCTTGAAAACAACAAAGAAGTCTGTGAGCCAATGCTCACTAGTAATACCCCCGCTCTGATGTGAATACACAAGTTCAGTTATGAACAGACACAGTTATAATCAGGAAGTTGACATCGGATTTGTACAAAAATGAATCCCAACATATGGCATGCCTAAACAAAAAGTGTGCCAAAATTTCAAGCATCTGCGATGAGTAGTTGCTGAGAAATCTGCCAACAAAATTTGTTATGTATGGTACAGACAGATACACGGATAAACAGGAAGTTGAAATTGGATTCGTACAAAAATGATTCCCACCATATGGCATGCCTAAACAAAAAGTGTGCTAAAATTTCAAGCATCTGCGATGAGTAGTTGCTGAGAAAACTGAGACCAAAATTTGTTACGGACTGGCACACAGCTAGACGGACAGAGACACACAAGGGTAAAACAGTACACCCTCCTCCCCCCCCCCCCCCCCCTCCTTCTAAGCTGGGAATTAAACAACATGAAAATTAGTGATTTCACAGAGTGTATAAGCATATAATGATTGACAAATATATCTTGAATAGTTTCTTTGAAATTTGGCTATACACAAATTTGAAGTCAAGGTCAAAGGAAAGGTCAAGGTTAAAAATGTTGATGCAGTTGAATAGTTCTCACCAATATGTATCAGCATATTATATTTGATTAAAATATACATGTACTGAATAATGTCTTTGAAACTGAGCTTAGCACTATTTTAAGAAAAGTAAGGTCAAGGTTACCAGAAAGGTCAAGGTAAAAAAAATGTTGATGCAGTTCAACAGCTCTCATCAATACGTATAAGCATATAAGTATGTATCAGCATATAAGATTTGAAAAAATATCTTGAATAGTTTCTTTGAAAACTGAGCTAAACGCTAATTTAAGAAAAGTGAGGTCAAAGGTAAGATCAAGGTAAAAAAAATATTGATGCAATTGAAAAGCTCTCATCAATATGTATCAGCATATGAAGTTTGATAAAAATATCTTGAATAGTTTCTTTGAAATTGAGCTAAATGCAAAGTGTGATAGAAGGACAGGTGGAAGGACAGAAAGATGGAAAGACGGAAGACGTACATGACAAACACTATGTGCCCTAGCCATATTTATAGCAGGGTATAAAAATATTTGAACAATTACCAGCTTAATAGCTACTGATTGTTAAATCAATTGTGAATTCATTTGCTGTTTCCAATTTCTCCTATTTTAATATCTGATCTTAGTGAATCATTTCTCCACACACCTAGAGATGCAGCATGCAAAAGACAGTTTCCATCTCCTGTGGTTGCCATTGGCAACAATCGCTGACAGATTCCCATTTCTGCCCACCAATTAAGACGTCCTAAAAATAGAGAAATTAACAATTCTGATGAAATTTTTTTAACACCCATGCACAAATGCACCTCCATGACAGATTTATTTACAAAAGCATATGACAGTAAATGTCAAAAACATTTTCAAGGCAGATTTACATGTACATGTATGAAGATAGAAGGTACATTTGTAACACAGCATAAGAAAATCATTGCCATAATTGGGTTGTATTTTTTAGTGTCTTATACCAGCTTGTTCCAGTGATACAAGGGTCGATGTCTCAATCAAGTCTTTCTCCAGGAAGGCACGATAATCTGCAGAGAAGACAGTCAGGTCTGGAAGAACAAACGTTTGGACGTACATGTGGTCATGACTGTCCTCAGAGATATCATCCATCAGGCCCTTTCTGGCCAGGTCCACCAGCGACTCATTTTCAACAATTTTAGAGAATCCTCGCTTCAGAGGTCGGGGAGCTGTCAAAAAAAAATATCTCAGTAAAAAATGTGGACTTAAAACAAAAAAGTGGATGTTTATCTTGAATGCAAGATTGGCTTCTAATAACGAGAAGTATATCTACATGCAAGAACTGTATATGTACATAAATCATAATAGAGAAATGGATTAAACACCTAAAATTTATACTTAAATAATAGTAAAAACATGACCTTAGAGTTTTTGAAGTACAATCTCTTCTAACAACTTAGCATATTTTTACGATCCCATAATCAGAGATTTGGGGGCATATAGTTTTTGCCCTGTCCATCTGTTTGTCCACAAAAATTTATACCTTGCCAGTAACTTTTGATTGGTTGGAGCTATGGCTTTCATATTTCACAAGTGTATTTATTGTGACAAGACCTTCAGGGATTTATCAGTACTTCTCAGGAGCCGAAATTCGGCCCCATTCCCAATTGAAAATGAGTTAAGATTTTCCCAATTTGGCAGTGTTTTTTCCCAATTGGTGAACAATGCTTTTATATTTAAATATCTTGGGAAAACACAGAGTAAAATTGTCAGATTGTCTGTAATTTTCATCTATTTAACTCATTTAGCAAAGCTACAGTCATAACACATGTTTAAAAACACTGTAAAAACATCGCCAACTTTTAATCCGAATTTCCTCTGTTTTTCTGAAAATGGTGATATTGTGTAATTGTATAGATTTATAAAGTTATTTCCACCTACAAAATTGATCTACGAGTGAATGGTAAGGACTGTAGGCATTATTTCAGATAGAAAAATATATTTTCAATGTTTTAATACATATTAAAAGAGGGTTTTGAGAAAATGTGTACTTAGTATAATTTTTTGCAGAAGGTTTATAATCTCCAGAAACAGATTCTATAATGACCTAAATTGGAATCTCAAACACATGTAATACCTTAAGTTGTATAGGTAAATACTTTATACTTATTGAAGTCAATTTTACTTTTATTAGTCTATTGTTCATAATTGATCTTGTATGATGAAGTTGGATTATATCATGTATATTTAATTGTCTGTTTGGTTGCCCAAATTAGAGTTCATGCTGAAATGTTAAATGAATTACACCTGAATACATGATTGATACATGTATAAGCAACATTTTAAATTTTTCCCAATTTCATCAAAAAGTCGATAATTATTTCCCAATTCCCCAAAAATGGCGTTTCCCAAAATAGGCTGATAAATCCCTGACCTTTCTTTGGGTACCAACATATTTGACCTTTTGACCTTGACCTTGCAGTTTGACCAACTTTTGCAAAATTTTACCAAACTTTAACCTTGGCTATAACTTTTCAATGGTTGTTGCTAGGGCTTTCATACTTTACATATGTATTCCTTGTGATAAGACCTTTCCTTGGGTACAACAATTTCTGACCTTTTGACCTTAGAGTTTGACCTACTTTTGAAAACCTTTAACCTTGGTCATTACTTTTTGAACAGATGGTGCAAGGGTTTAATATTTCACATGTATATTACCTGTGGCAAGACCTTCCATTGGGTACCAACAATTTTGACCTTTTGACCTTGATCTTGGAGTTTGACCTACTTTTGGAAAACTTTAACCTTCGTCGTAACTTGTGAACAGTTGGTGCTAGAGCTTTCATACATATCATGTGTATTCTTTGTGACAAGATTTTCCCTTGGATACCAACAACTTTTCACCTTTGACCTTGATCTTGGAGTTTGACCTACTTCAGAAAAACTTTAACCTTGGACATAGCTTATGAACAGTTGATGCAAGAGCTTTCATATTTCACATGTATATTCCTTGTGGCAAGACCTTCCTTTGGGTACCAATAATTTTTTACCTTTTGAACTGGACCTTGGAGTTCGACCTACTTTTAGAAAACTTTAACCTTGATCATAACTTTTGAACAGTTGGCGCTTGGGCTTTCATATTTCACGTGTGTATTTCTTGTGATAAGTCCTTTCTTAAGGTACCAATAATGTTTGACCTTTTGTCCTTGACCTTGGAGTTTGACCTACTTTTGAAAAACTTTAACCTTTGCCATAACTTTTGAATGGTTGGTGCTAGGGCTTTCATATATCACACATACATTCCTTGTGACAAGACCTTCCCGTGTGCACCATTAATTTTGACCTTTGATCTTGGAGTCTGACTTATTTTGAAAAATTTTAACCTTAGCCATAACCTTTGAATGGTTGGAGATATAGCTTTAATCATTCACAGGTGTATTTCCTTGTGACAAGACCTTTCTTTGGGTATCAACATTTTTGATCTCTTGACCTTGGCATTTGATATGCATTGGAGAAATTTTAACCCTCAACATGGGATGCCATACGGAGGCATCAATGTTTCACAAATACATCTTATTTTTTCTACTTTTAAAGATCATCAAGTTGTTTTTCACTCACAAGCTGGTGGAGATGGTGTCACAGCCTTTGTGTCTGCTGCTGCTGATTTTTTTGAAAGTTCATTCATTGTGGTTGTACTCTGACTACTTATGGCTGTAGATCTTGTGACTGGCTGGGTCACATGGGTGGATGTTATAACTGGTTGTGATGGTGCAGCAGTCTTTGTGGTTGACGCTGTTGATCTTGTGACTGGCTGCGTCATATGGGTGGATGTTGTAACTGGTTGTGATGGTACAGCGGTCTTTGTCGTTGATGATGCTGTTACGTGTTTACCTGTGGTGGTGGTCTTGACTGGCTCCCCACCACTTCCTGCCATGACTGAGGGTTTTGAGTTTTCAGTACTGTATAACTTGGTATTCCCCGGGAACTGGGAAGTAGCTAACTGACTGCCAACTTGTGGCTGGGTGACTGACTTATTACTAATTTTTGGCTGATTTGTTGACTTGGTACTGGCTACCTGTGATGTGTGGGTGGTTGGCCTAATGTTGACTAGTTGTTGCTGAGAAGCTGAGGAAGAGGGATGAGGGTCCAATAACTTAGGTCCAGGGGGGTTAGTGCTGATGGGGGGTGGGCCAGCTGACCATGAATGAGTCAGAGGTTTTGGGGCCACTGCAGGGGGAGCAGAGATTCGGGGATTCAGCATAGAATGTTGCAGGACTAGGGGCTGTGTAGAATTTACAGGGAGCATCATACTGTGCCCTACAATACATGGAAATCATAAATAGAGATTAAAGTCCAAATTATTTCCTACTAATTTCAGGCCAAAGTCAATATAAAACTTGTCTATACTATGAAAAGTTCAACAGACTAACCACAACAGTTAAAAAATATTGTTTTTATTTACCGTATAAGCAGAATTTTTAGCGAGGATTTAATTTTGGCATTATTAACAAGGGTTTTGATATTGCTAAAATTGAATATTGCTAACAATTCATTGCGTATCGATGATTACAGCTATTTTTCTGGACATCATAAAATTCCAAAAATTACTTCTGAAACTCGCTAAAAATATATTCCAGTTATCTGGGGTAAATCACTAAATTTGGATCTCGCTAAAAATTCCACTTATACAGTATGGTGTAATCATATGGGCATTCAAACACTAAGAATATCATCAATTAATACACCAAACTCTGCTCCACTATCCAGCCCAAAAAAAAAAAAAAAAAAACAGAGGAAAAATTTCAGCTGAAAAATAGGATTGGTTAACCAAAACTGGAAGATATTTGTCTGATTCCTACCTTTGTCAGGCATCCTCTCTATTGGGATAATGCGTTCTACTGGGGGATTTCTCACCTCTCCGTAAGGATCAGCCCACTGGGTACCAGAGGTATGACCTAAAAAGCATACTCTGATGATAGTAAAGTTTGATTTCCATTTCATTTCCTTCAAAGTGAAGGAGTCTAAATCAGTGATATAAAATTATCTCCAATTTGAGAGAAAATTTATTTGAGGTATTGCATTGTATATAAATTTATAAATCTATCAGGTGTGTTTATTTACTTCAATGAAGGGGAAAATGTTTAACATTTTTTTTATCTGCAAAGTTTAAGCAAAAGCAGGTTGATGTTCTGCAATTGCTATAGGAAGTTACTGATAAATAAATAAACAAACAAAGACAGAAAGTATTCAGTAACTTAAACTATTGTCATGCAGTGTTATACATGTACTGATTATTTTACTGAGGCCATCTTGCTTACAACTTACTTGGTAAGTTTTGGGTGGGTTTCCTGTCCCCTGGTCTGGGTATTCCCCCTGGAAGTCTCTGTGCAGGACCATCAGTCCATCCAGCAGAAACTTGAGGTGGGGGATAGACAGGCTTTATCCTACCCATTCTAATGTAATCCTCAAATCTCCGAATCCCCTGTCCAACATCCCAGCCAACTTCTGAAAATGTTCAAAACAGCTGACATTAAAAAGATAAGTCTCAAATTCATAAACACATTAATCATGCTTTCAAAATCATCTATGTGTACTTCAATTCTGTTGAGTTCACAAAAGCTGAAATTTCTAACAAACAAATTAATTAAAAAAGCGTGATATGACACTACATAATTTAGCATGTCTCTAATTAAAGCAGTCTGTGTTTCTCCTCTCACCCATCATAAATGCATGCTAATTCATGAACAGTTTAATTTGATAAAGAACCAAAAGAGAAATTCTGATTTATCATCACAAGCACCTAAAGCATTTACTAATGCTTTCCCCTAGCATATTACATAACGTATGACAGATAAAAGTCTTAAACTCCAGAGAGTGTGAAAATAACAAGGCTATCAGAAAGAAGTATGAGTAAGCCCAGACCATTCTTCAGGGTGATAAACTTTTATTTGCAGGTTCATACCAGATAAGATACCGGCGGCAAGGTCTGGTTCCAGCCCCGTGCTGTCTACAAAGCTCCGGAGGGCCTGTTTCTTCTCCATCCCACTACCTGCTTTCAGTAATAACACACATCTCAGAAGTAACCTGAAAAAAAAGGCAGAAATCAAATCCCATTTCCCAGTCCGTCTTAATGGATAAAATAAATGTACATAAAATTGCATACTGTAGGGACAGCTTTATTGATTTACAATGATTTTCTTTCCCCAATGTGTCAACATGTGGAAATTGTATATGTAAATGAAACTTCCCTCTTTTATCTTACTCAAATCATATTAGAGCTATTCAGAGCCTATTCCATACAAAAATGTAAAGACGGCATTCTTCAAACAAAAGAGAATATTTACATACTAATTAAAGATAGGTTTTAATTTATAATTCCCCAAACCCTGTGTTACCTCTGGTATGTTTAGTGATACCGTAACTTTCTAGTAAACAGTGAGACCAGTAAAAAGGATTTGTTCATTGTCTCAAGTACATTGTGATAGCAATACAAAATCATTTCATCATTACTTGTGCTAACGAGATCATATCTGACACTGCCATTTGACTTGGAACAAAGACATCCTGGTACATTTTCAAGAAAAATGATGGATTTCAGAAAAGAATAAATTTGAAAATGTGGGTCATAACCTGACTTCAATTTATGACAGATTGAAGGAAGAGTAAAGAAGATTAACTACTCTTGAATAATTACAATAACAATTGTTACATGTAATGTCATAAATAAAACTAGGGGTACTGTGAGCATTGAGTTCACAAAATGATACCCTCCCCATATGAGTATTATGGCAAAGTTCATGTTTTGCTATGGGAAATTAGACCAAATATTTTTCAGATCAAAATGCAAAATAGGAGGTGTACAATGGTACTGTGTAATTAAGATTCTGGGAAAATCTCATTAATTCAGTAATATAGGAGGAGTTGCAGATAAAAGATGAGTACCCCTAATATTATACTAAGAATGGCAGTGTCAATGTTCTATTATGGGAAATACCAAAATTGTGTCACAAATAAATGTAAAATAGAAGATCACAATGGAACTTTATGTAAACCAGAAGTCTCTGATGAGACTGTAGCTCTACTGGTCTGTTTGTATAACAAAAGAAAAGTAGCACTTGGATTTGAAACATTGCAACATGCAACAATAAATAGAATTATGTATCTTAATGTAGTCTACTTTTGTGACAAGTTATATTGAAATCAAATGAAAACTAGGAGTAGTAGCGTTTTGAAAGTATTTCATGGAAATTTCTATTTCTAGTAACCATGACAACACCATTCACCCAAATAAAAAAAAACAGAAATACATATTATGTATTGTAGTGTATTCTAACTGTGTGCCAAATTAGATTGAAATCAGACCAAAATTGTAGGAGGAGTAACATTTTAAAGGAATTTCACAGAAATTTCTATTTTATGTAACCATGGCAACACTGTTCATCGAATTCAAAAACCAATGCAATAAATTATGTATCTTAGTATAGTCTTCTTGTATGCCTAATTATATTAGAAGCAGACTAAAACTGTAGCAGGAGTAGCGTTTTAAAGGAATTTCACAGAAATTTCTATTTTTAGTAACCATGGCAACACCGTCCATCGAAATCAAAAACCGATGCACTAAATTATGTATCTTAGTGTAGTCTACTTGTGTGCCAAGTTATATTGAAATCGGACCAAAACTGTAGGAGGAGTAGCGTTTTAAAGGAATTTCACAGAAATTTCTATTTTTAGTAACCATGGCAACACCGTCCATCGAAATCAAAAACCGATGCACTAAATTATGTATCTTAGTGTAGTCTACTTGTGTGCCAAGTTATATTGAAATCGGACCAAAACTGTAGGAGGAGTAGCGTTTTAAAGGAATTTCACAGAAATTTCTATTTTTAGTAACCATGGCAACACCGTCCATCGAAATCAAAAACCAATGCAATAAATTATGTATCTTAGTGTAGTCTACTTGTGTGCCAAGTTATATTGAAATCGGACCAAAACTGTAGGAGGAGTAGCGTTTTAAAGGAATTTCACAGAAATTTCTATTTTTAGTAACCATGGCAACACCGTCCATCGAAATCAAAAACCGATGCACTAAATTATGTATCTTAGTGTAGTCTACTTGTGTGCCAAGTTATATTGAAATCGGACCAAAACTGTAGGAGGAGTAGCGTTTTGAAAAATTGTTTACAGACAGACGGACAGACAGACAGACAGACAGACAGACAGACAGACAGACGGACGGACGACGGACACCTTACTATCGCATAAGCTCTTCTGGTCTCTGACCAGTAGAGCTAAAAAAACAATGACTCTGTAAAAATCTAATTGAATTTTATTCAGTGGCATAATAATAATAATAATAATAATAATAATAATGCTTTATTTAGAGAAGGTAACCCAATTAGTACAAGGTACTATTCTTCCCCAGGGCCTTCTAAATTTGAGGAGGAGTTGCAGGTAAGAGATGGGTATCCCCCAAGTGTAAAGGACGGACAGAAAGCTGGACAAACACCAATCATTATATACTCCCATTTTTCAAACAGATCAATTGAAAAGTTGAGGCGAAAGCACCATGGATTAAAAATGCAATCTCCTACTGATTTTATTCTCTCTCCCTCTCTCTCTCGATCAATGGATCCATAGATATAGATATATTTATTAGGGTTGTCAAAGAGTAACTTGTTACTTGAGTACTTATCAAAAGGTCTGAGTATTGAATACTTAAACCAGTTTTCAAATACTTGGAAAAAACAAAATGCCATAGGCCACATCACTCACCTTAGCCACCATGGCCCTACTATTCTTCCCCAGATTTTATCCCCTATACATTCCTATGTAAAGCTTTGATCATCTACTGTGGCCCCACTCTACCTCAGGAGTTGTAATTTGAAACAAGATGTGTTTATGAAACACTGATACCCAAAAGCTCAAGGTCAAGGTTAAAGTTTTTCAAATATAGGTCAAAATTCAAGGTCAAGAGTTCAAAAATGTTGATACCCAAAGAAAGGTCTTGTCACAAGGAATATATATGTGAAATATAATAGCACTAGTACCAACCATTCAGAAAATATGGTTAAGGTTAAAGTTTTTCAAAAAGTACATCATATACTCCAAGATCAGTGTCATGAGGATGAAAAAATAACGGTACAAGTACCAAAGAAAAGATCTTGTCACAAGGAATGCATAAGTCAAGGCTTTCAAAAAGATTAGAAACAGGTGGTACTTTTACTAAAATAGAAATAACCTTGCAGAAACAATTTTAATTAAATTTGTTGTCAATTTTTTATCCAACAAATATTTTGGGCAGTACAATCATGATTTTAGCCAGATAAAAGTACCGGGTAATGGCAGATTATGAAAGGTCTGACAAGTGAAATATGAAAACCCTAACAGCAACCTTTCAAAAGTCATAGGAAAGGTTAATTTTTTTCACATGTATGTCAAACTCCAAGGTCAAGGTCATAAGGTCAAATATGCTGGTACCCAAAGAAAGATTTTGTAACAAGGAATATATATGTGACATACGAAAGTCCTAGCACACACCATTAAAAAGTTATGACCAAGATTAAAGTTTTTCAAAAGTAGGTCAAACTCAAAGTCAAGGTGGAAGAGTCAAAAATGCTACTATCCAATGAAAGGTCTGGATACATGGAATACACATGTGAAATAAAAAGCCCTAACTCCAACTGTTCAAAAACTGGCCAAGGTTAGAATTTGGTAATATTTTGCAAAAGTAGGTCAAACTTCAAGGTCAAGAGGTCAAATATGTTGGTACTCAAAGAAAGGGCTTGTCACAAGGAATACACATGTGAAATAAGAAAATCCTTGCACCAACCATTCAAAAGTTAAGGGCAAGATTAAGGTTTTTGCAAACAAACAGACAGACAGATGGACAGACAGACCAAAAACTATATGCCCCAGAATCTTCTATTAAGTTTGCATAAAAAGCTTGAATCTACATAGCTAAGGGTGCTTTCATATTAGAATGACTAATCATGCTTTTGCAAATTCATCAGATTTTTAAAGATTTTTTCCTATGTATTTCTGTGTGAAATTTAATCACCTACTGTGGCCCTGCCCTACCCCTAAGGGTCATGATTTGAAAAACTTGAATGTATATATACAATCTGAGAATGCTTGCATATCAATACAACTAATCATGTTGTTTTTGAGAAGATGTTTAAAGATTTTTTTTTTCTATATTTCTCATTATGAATTTTTTTTTTAAATTTTGTACTTTTCAAACTTTGTTTATGGACATGCAGTAACATTCGACATCATGTGACGTCACAGTCTAGACGTTCCAAATGTCTCGTGCGGTTTGAAAAGGCAGATCTTAAAATTAAGTGAACAACTGGGCTCGCACCAATGGCCGCACCATCAACACTGAGTTAGTCTAGTCCTTATAACACATCAAATATTTTTTTTTTATTACCTTGTCAGAAATGAGCCTTATAAACCTTTAATAAAACTTTTTCTAACTTTGTCAACAGATACTAAACCAGTCATTTTGCTTATTTTTTGCAAGTGATTTTTTCATGCCATTATTAATTTATTAATCCCAGTTCAGCATGTGAGTAAGACCAATCTTTCTATAAGATATAGTGACAATATTTGCTATATTATAATACAAATTCTAATATGAATTAGATACTGTTTTACATATTGCATAAGGATATGTATACATGTAACCAAGAGAAAAGGAGTTAACGTGTGACTACTTTTTTTTCAAATACATAGTGAATCATTCATGTGTAAAGTTTATTATAACGTTATAGTGTTTCTTTTTACATTAAAATTTATTGATGAAAACTTCTTTTCAGTCATTGAAACGTCACAGAATTTCGCCCTTTTACGCAAAGTTTGTGATGCTATCGCTGCAGCACAAACTCTTCTTTCTCTTTAATATGATGCCGTAATCGTTGATGCCTGACTCATGGTGATGACAAAAAGGCACCATCCATCGTTCAATGACCCCTTTGATGTTAAGAACAGCAAAATTTTGCAAATACTTACTACACATGCGTCTGTAGATCGGTTTAAGTTGATCTGTAGATAAAATCAATAGTTTTTCATCTCATTTTCAACACCTTTTCAGCTAGTTTTCCTACAAATCACAAAATAAATAACTAGCTGCTGATGACACTCGAAATCCTCAGAAAAACAAATTACCGGAAGTCCCCCATGCCCTATTTTTGTTAAACCGTACATATAATCATTCGTTCTCAGACCTTCATTTCTATCATCACTACTTCTGTATTTTCCTGGGTATCTCAAACCATTTTTAGTAATGTAAAATTCTCTCACATAACATTTTCTTCAATATTAGTTTATAAAGAAAACCAAACTTACTATCACATTTGAATGAAAATTTAATTTTAAAATTGACTGAGATACTTATTATAGTAGCTGCAGAACTGTAGCGTTATTGTTTTATATATTAGTCTTTGACCAGTTATGGTCAAAGACTAATATATATAAAACCATAACGCTACAGTTCTGCAGCTATAAATATATAAAACCATTTGGTTTTCAGGCCCGTAGGAAGCAATTTCACTTTGAGGGGGCACAGCCATACATTTTCAGTTGGGGGCACTATATCAAATACCAAAATTCATTGACAAGCAAAGAAAAGAAAAGAAGAAAAAGGTCATCAGGCGTTATTATTGAGGGGGCACAAGCATAAGGTAGCTGTTTTCTATGGTATTCTTTCGATATATTGGCAAAACTATCAATTTGGGAGGGGGGTTAACCCCCCCCCCCCGGGTTCCTACGGCCATGGTTTTATGGGTATCTGATAGTACCAAGAAATTTGCAATTAAGCGATTAAGCGAAGTAACAAAGCTTTTATTAATATTAATAAATGAAAATGTTGGCTTTTAAATCAGTTGTAAATAGGGACATTTTGCCAAAAATTAAGCTTACTCTGAAAGTAACATGAAATATATACTACATGTATAAGCAATCTGACAGTCAACAAAATTCCACATGATTTTTCTCATCATCATCAATTCCACACCTTATGCTTTATATTTGATTTAATCAAATTCATGTCAAATCATGACTCATAAGTCTTCACAAACAATTTACTGAAAGATGTATTTAAAATGCCTTTCTTGAAATGATCGTTCCGGTAATATGAACGTTCATGCAATAAATAGTTTATTATACCAGGGACCCATATACTTAGTATATTGGTCCCTGATTATACCGAAAAAATCAAAACCTTTAAAAATAAACACAAACTTTCAAATTTGGTACCGCTCTTAAATTCACTTTCAGTTTTAAATTTAAGTCACTGAAACACTTTACTGAAGTCTCTTGGACACTTCATACTCTGATTTCTTTGTTTTTTTAAAAGCATCCTTATTGAAAAAGAAGACCATCAATTTTGTCATTGCTTTAGAGATAAAATATTCAGCACTACTAATGTATATTTTGATGTCTGCTGCTCTCAGGAGTTTTCGTTTATGAACAATAAGTTTTGCGGGAAAATGCACGAGGTTTCTGAAGAGGTTGAATATAATGAAAAGCATGATGCCGACAGGGAAAAATGAAGTTTTATGGCCCTGTCACATGACAATCTAGAACCAATCGGATAATGCATAGTATCAGGGACCTATATACTATACTTTGAGTTAGTATATAGGTCCCTGTAATTACGTATAATAATATATAATATTATACTTTCATGTAAATTAGTTGAATCTGATTCGTCGAGAAACATTTTGTTAAAAAACACTATTGCCCTGAATGATGAATCCACGCCCTCCAGCATAGCAACACTCAACATTGCTTGACGACGGGTGATATTCAAAAAAAAAAAAAAAATAGTGACTGTGCAGAATTTATGTGCGCAAGGTTCACTGTTATATGTATTTGTATACAACATTCAGTATAATATAATAAATATTGCATGTGGTTGAGTTGACAATGGTTTTCTTGGGGTGAAAATTTTCAATGTTACACTCAACTACATGCAATATTTATATATTTTGTATTATATATATAAAGAAGACTAGGTAACTGGTAGTTGTCAAAGTTTAATGAGAATAGTGTACCATAGTGTATACATATATTATGTCAGATACTGAAAATAATAAAGTTTATAGCCTGGACACAATATTATTTTGCTAGTCCCTGCTTCTCCCCTTTCCACCTCTCCTCTAGATGGACCTCACAGCCTAGATCCCTCAGGGCAGCTTTTGCCTCATCCTGGCAGGACTTATGATTTCTCTGGGCTTCCTGTATCAACGATTCAGCTCCCAGCTCCAGAAACCTGTCACAATATTCCCGAGTTCTGGAGACCAGGTTTCTGATGGCCATACAACTTTGCTTCTACAAAATAAAGTTGAAATTGTCATAAAAAAGTGCAGCCTCAGTGTATAACCTTTTTTTAACATTGCTTTGATTACTTTTTAAGCGTATAACAAAGGAAGCTCATGTACTTTATGAACAAGACCAGTATTCAAACCAGTGCCCCTGAACTCTCTACATCAACTAATCTATCTGGCCACTGGCTGATACACCTATCTGACCAGTACAGTGAAACTTGTTTAATCTTGATGTTGTATATTCCAAAATGTTGCCTATTACAATTTACAATGTAAACTTTCAGTAAATCATTTAAACTGAAATGTTGTATGATCTGACTGATTTCTGTGGAACCAGTAGTGCCCAGATAAGACAAGCTTTACTGTATACTACAGGGCTATCCTTACCTGTACATTAGCGTCCTGGCTGTGGATTTTCATGGCCTGTAGTGTAACCTGATGTCCATTTAGCTCTATTACTCTTTTACAGTTACTTGGGTTTCTTAGTACAAGGGCAGCTATTGTAGCTGTCCCGAGCTCTGCTATCTTCTGGTTTGCTTGATGCTTCATCATAGCACCCAGAATAACCTCAACTCCTCCATTCTGGACCACAGTTTCTTTCACTTTGTCATTTCCTGCCAGAGCTTTTGTTACACTTAAGGCCTGTTTGGCAATTTCCTACAGAACATTTTTATTTTTTAATTAATCCTTTTTTGAGTGTTTCTGACAGACAGGTGCAACTTAAAGTGATCCATATATGTTGCTCTGCTTTCAAAGCAACTCAAATATTTTTTACAAAGGACATATTTGGAGACTGAAGAACTCTAACAGTTAAAACATCATGTCTTCCTTCCTCAGTGAGAACAATGAGTAGATAGAATATTCTATCATTAAAATGATTTTGTCCTATGAACCCAGTTTAACTGTGGTGAGGGCTTGTCCGAGACTCAGATTATTCTAACTAAATAATTGTCCCCAGACACAGTTAGATTACTTTGACTAAATAATAAGGGTTAAATGTCACCATTCCCACCTTGTTGGCAATGCTGTCCTGGAATGCAGACAGAATGAGGTCAATACCTCCCATGTCCATCACGGCCTGACAGAACTCATCCCTGACCACCAGTTTACTGACCGTAGCAAACAGCTCACTCATAACCTCAGGTTTGTCTGTGAACTCTACAACATACAGTTTACTGTGTTTTATACTCTGTGCAAGAAGACTGGAGGTAATTTCTATACCAAGGTTCACGTACCAAAGTTTCATCATACCAGGGTGACACTGGGTCATAAAATAATGAAATTTCAACGGTAGTAAATTTTCTATGTGACATAAACAAGACATAATATACCCCTGATTTTACTCATAGATTTCTATATTATATTAATACTTCATCAAAATAATTGTGTTTTGCTTAAGGTAGTATGGGATACCTCTACGTTATGACGTATTTCCGTTTGAAGTATTGTTTTGATTTGCATGAGTGCTTATTATCGGGTCAAAATTTGTAGATACACCGTTGAAAAGAACACTCTGAAGCCTATTTCAATGCAAGTTCTCACAAGTCGGCATTTTAAGTAAAAACAGACAAAAAAATCGCAAGTATATAAATTTACTTATAATTGTACAACGGACATTTAAAAAAGCAAACCCCTGTAAAAGGTAGTTTCAACATTGCTGCTTTTGAACACTTTTAAGCAAAAGCTGTATTTCAATTGTTTGAGTAACTGTACAGCACCTTGTGTGCGATGAGGCATGGATAAGTGCGATTACTTCACATTGTGCTGAATTATCACCAATCAATTATCACGTTAACCAGAGCTGGACTTTTTTGTTATTTAATTCAAGAAGTAACTGTTTGGTCACAAATCAGCTAGCTGTTGTATATAGTCCCAAAACGTTCAGATGAATGCAATTGCTCTGAACAAGACACGTCCTGGAAAGCGATTGTCCATGCATTGTTTTCAAAACCGCTCAAAGTTGAAAACTACAAAGTGCGATTTTTTTAATGGTTTCTTAAATAGCACCCAAGTTTTTTCAACCCTTGGAAAATAAAGAAGGATAACTCTTCCGCTCGGATCTTTTAATTCAAAAAATTTTAAATGCATTTTATATTTTCCATTTATATATATATATTTTCAATTTGTTTATTTCACTTTGCTAACATATTAAGATACATTCTTATTGTAGACTTTCATGAAATGTTATCCGTCTGTTTTCAAGAAATAAAGTTTTCCCAGTTTTTTACGCTTATTTTTTGTTGAAAATTAAAAAAAATACTAAGACATATTTCTTGTCATTTTTGTTTTTACAAACACTTTATATTAGCAAACGCCTGCCTATAATATTAAGCTTATGAAAAAAGAATTATGCAAGAAAAAAAATCGTTTTTGTATTTCTCATTAAAATAATAAAAAAATTATTAAAATTACACTTTAATATACTGAAAGGTGGGGGTATTTCAAATCCTTCTAATTTGGGTACATAAATATGTAGGAGAAGTTTCGTTTGGTATCCCATACCACCTTAATTGGCATTCACTCTTAGCTGATAAATAAAGAATGAATTTCAGGACAGTAAGTTGCACAAATATAAGAAGAAAAAATAAAAATCCTTACCTTTGCACAGATCTACGATGATTTTCAATGCGTTCCCTTCTGTTACTATCATCTTGGCATGTTCATGTGCCTGACCAAATGGAACTCTGATATCATCATCAAACGTTAAGACCTGCAACACTTGACAAGTCGCCATGACAACTGTTGGATGACTGCGCTGAGTCTTCAAGGTTGAAGCTAACTTTTCTATCAAACCTAACTTAACATATGATTGTCTGTTCTCCTCATGTTTAATACAGCTATTTCTAATAAACAAGAGAACCGGTTCTAAAATTTCAGGGTTTGATGAATACATCTCTAATAATTCTAAAAAGAGTTCCTTTCCTTTTTTATCTAATAAATCTGGTTGTCCATTGGTCAATGATATCAGAGATATCAAAGTCTGTTTGAGAAGATTTATATTGTTCTTGTTGTTTTCCAGTGTTCTTATAAGAACATCATAGGCACCATCTTTGCCTGCTATACATCTCACAGCTATATCTTTGTCACACTCTAGTTTCAGTTTGACAAGATCACTTATTATCTCTTTTTCATTATTTTTTGATATAGAGGCACTAAGGTTGTTAAGAACTGAGACCACAGGGAGCTCTTTCTTTTCACCATTAGCATCATACAATGTGGGATCCTGAACAATGTTCATAAGATTTACACCCTGAAATATACACTAAATACATTAAAACATTGCAAACAAAGAAAACATCCAATCTGAATCTATGTTCATGAAGTATATCTAATCTATATTATGGCAAGCGCAGTGAGCTCTAACGACAACGCTTGGACAAAGAGAAAATTCGGACTTTGCACATTGATCCAAATGAATTTTTTTCCCCAGTTACCTTGAGATCCACAATGCTAGTGGATCTCGCTGCTTACTTCATTCTCGCGGTAACAACAACTAAAAAATTCACAAAAAATAAACTCACACTGATTTAATGGATACACATATTGCATACAGATAGTATATTAAACGTTCTCTGTTAAAATTTTGCACTTTTTTTAAAATTCGTTTATGGAAATGCAGCTAATATACAATGCCATGTGACGTCACAGTCTAGATGTTCCAAATGTCTCATGCAGTTTGAAGAGGCTGATCTTAAAATTAAGTGAACAACTGCGCTGAGGCCCTAACAGTCGCACCATCAACATATTACATGTGTACAGAAAATTCAACCAATAAGATATAGACATCTTTTTACAGTATAAACCTGAGACTGGAACTGCTCCACTGCATCTTTGACTGCCTCATCTGCACTCATCTCAAACTCTGTCATGTTTTCCTTGACAACATCATCAAAGGTCTCCTGTGCTATTACTTTAGCCATCTCTAGAGACTCAACATTTACCTATAAGAAATACAATAATGAAAGTGATTTTAAGTCAACCTAGACAAAATCATGATTGTTTAGGGCAGTAAATAGTGTAAACTGATCTGTTGATGTCAGATCACGAGAAATTATAAACACTGACTCATAGTGATTAGTCTCGAATCTTCTATCAATGAAACATAGAGGCTTATTCAGTGTTAATCACAATAAAATATATAATGAATAAAATTAAGTTATTATTATTATTTTAGAAATAGCGACTCAACAATGGTGTATCTTGAGGTAATGAATACAAACCGTCTCTGTGTGTTTAAACAGCTTCTATGGGCCTAACGAGAACTGTCTAAACACGCTGGTTTGTTTACAATAGTTGCGTCTGCGTTCCTAGTTGAACAATCGTTCATAAACTTATTCGACTCTCAACTGTTCCATAAAATCCACCGTGACCCTATAAGAAATGAAAGAATTTGTAGAACGTGTGACATGAATTGTGTGGAAGATGAAATTCATTCACTGATTGATTACATTGATTATATAAACATGATAGACATTATTTTATTTTAAATAAATTAATAAATATATAAATACTATCTTTTCAAATAAAAAGAAAGGATATATAACTGTACTAAACGCTGGGGTTTGGGTCTTTTCCCGTCACTTCTGTTGCTTTTATATCTTTACCATATTTCACTTTTGTATGTTTACTATAGAATTCTGTTAATTTGGCATCAAAATTTAAATGTTAAAATGAATTTAGACTGTAGTACAATAATTTTTTTTTGGGGGGGGGGGGGGTCCTTGCTGCTTTCCAAATATATAGTGAATTTTACACTAAACTGCCCTTGATTAAACATTAGGTATGCATGAGAGGTGGAGCAAAAGTTGTAATAATGCCTCTATTTAAAATTAGACTAGATAAATAACAATGACATATGTATATAAAAATACGAGATTACGTATTCTTTCCCATCTCCCCCTTTATTCTGTATGGCACAAGTATACTATAAATTAACAAAGGTTTCATATGAAATTAACAATATAAGCACGTCCATGTAAGTAAAGAATATTTTGAATCGATGCCTGACAATTCAACGTGTTCGAGCACAGTGTCCTATTTACAGCACAAAACAGTCATGCTACCTTACAAGTCACGTGACGGAATATAGTATTCACAGAGTTACTGGAGGTAAGAAATCACATGGGGAATTATAATATTCAACATGCCACAGCTCGAGAGAACGAATGTAAGAAGAAGTGCTATGTTTTTTTCTCTTTTAAACCATGAGCGCATGTTTGTCTATTAATCTCATTTTGACACAACATTAATAATGCAAATAAACAACTATATATACTGTTAAACGGAGAACGAAAGACAAACATGCGCTATGTATAAAGTCAGTGAAAAAGTGGGCGTCCTCATCATCGTAGGGAGATGTGATGATCCCCGCCTTTGAAAACAGCCTCGTACTTCGTAAATACATACTTTTATTTAATGTAATTACGTAAAGTTGTAGATTAGATGTTGAACATTCCTGCGATTAAAAGAAAAATGTTTGTTTTGAAAACTTTTTTTTTCATGTTGTTATAGTGCAGTCATCCTTTTTGTGGATTATGTCTAATGAGAATGATATGTTGCTTATCAAGCCAGGTAATTTTTTAGTCAGTATTTTTAAAATAAAAAATAGTACATCATATGATGTTAAAAAGAACCAAATAAATGCAAAAAAGCAGTAATATTAATACTCTAGTACAAATACACATGTTACAAATTCTTTGTACGTATGCTAATTATATATATGTCTTGTAAGCATTTATTATTATTGATAATCCTCATCTGTTATAATCATCATAATCTCTTTTCTTTTATTTTCTTGTATTCATTTATTTTTAACAAACGTTTTTCGATGAATCAAATTCAAGTAAATAACATGAAAGTACAGTCAAACCTTGTTATCTCAAACTCGATGGGACAGAAAAAAAATCGAGATATCCTAGGATCCGAGATATCCAGGATAAACACTTTAGGAAAAAGTGGTTGGGACTTCCATATTTCTTCGACATATCCATGGTATTCAAGATATAATAAATTAATGTATAAATAAAGATGACATTTTATCATTTACTTTAAACTATCATCCTTTAAACGATTTATTTTTTATGTTATTAAGGAATTATTTTGCGGAATAAAAAATTAAGAACCAAGAAAAAAATCCTTTAAGGGGACGATAGATTAAAAACAAGTTCTTTTTACTGATAAATAATCATAATCATGATAATGGGAGCGTAGCCGGAACGACAACCCTGGATAGAGAATGATAAGTGGATTGTACTCCCCTTACCATTCCCTGTTTCCTGGGTGGGGTGGGGGGGGGGGTCTAATTTCATTTTTTGTTAATTTAAGTTTAACATTGAAATTTGATAACCTGAAAATTCCACAGGGATTGGGGGTTTTGATCCATATCCCCCCATCCCACCCCACCCCATCTAGATCTGCCCTTAACAGTATCACCTCTTTTGTCTTTGTTGAAGAAAGAAGATAATCCCCCCAAAAAACCATATTTGCATATAAAACAATTCCGTAAAAATCAGTTTATTGCACTTCACAACTTTTTCCCCAATGCAGTCTACCCTCAAAGCAATGGCTAAAAAGTACAAATTGAAAAAAAACCCACAATCCTGCTTGAACAGTTTTATTGTCTAAAGTACAAGTATAAAAAACATTAAAAGATTACTTCAAAATCATGTTTTAATTATGCATATTTTCAACAAATGTTGAAATGTATATTCTTCTTTGGCACTTGTTCAACTTCCAAACAATATCTATTAAATAGCAAAATAGAAAACAAGATGTGTTTGTGAAACACTATGCCCCCGATGGTAACACAATTCTGGAGTGGGACGTAGACTACAGTGCAATAGTTATGGCCAATGTTAAAGTTTTTCAAATGTAGGTCAAAGGTCACAGTTGAGGTCACATGATAAAAAATTTCTGTACCAATGGAAAGGTCTTGCCATAATGAACACTCATGTCAAATATTAAAGCCTTACCCTTGACAGCGCAGTTGTTATGGGCTAGGTTAAAGTTGACAACAGACAGACAGACAAACAGACAGACAGGACAAAAACAAATTACCCCGGGATCTTTCGATCTGGGGGCATAAAAATACTAGCTTTAACATTACTTCCCAATACAAAAGTCCTTGAAAACAACATCTAGAATATCTTCTGAGGTGATTTTTCCTGTAATTTTTCCAATGTCATACAGAACTTTTCTTAAACTTTGGGCAGCTAATACTACATCTCCAAGATCCATGTAACGTTTGTATTTTTCAAGGTGACCTTGACACTTCTGCAGGTGTAAACGATACCTGGTCTGCGTCAGACTAGGATTTCCTGACAGGGGATTCCCACACCTACAGTCAAAATCAGTTTCTCTTTAGAAATTAAAGTTTCAATAATATATCCACTGAAAATAATGTACAAATTTTAAGAGAATAACATTGTAAGTTTTACACTAATATGCATTTTATTTCCAAGAATGAGAGGCCCATGGACCTCAATGCTTACCTGAGTAAGTCAAGATTTTTTCCTACATAAACTCGTAAGTAAAAATAAGATATCCTATTGTGGCCCCATCCTCCCCTAAGGGATCATGATTTAAACAATTTTGAATCTAAAAAGCCTTAGGATACTTTAAAATAAGTTTCATTTTAAGTGATTCATGGAAAGGAGATTTGTAAAGTTTTTCCAATGCCAATCCAGTGCTCTACCTATCGAGCTAAAGGGTTAACCCAGTAGCAAAAGCTAGAAGGATGCCATGTATCTTACACTACCACATATATTCCTATGTAAAAATTTGATCTTCTATTGTGGCCCATCCCTACCCCCAAGAGCTACAGTTTGAATAAATTAGAATCTATACTAATTCAGGAACTTTCATACAAGTTTTAACTTCTCTTCTTCAGAATGATTTTTTTATGCCCCCGCCATAAAATGGCCGTGGGCATATAATGTTACCCTGTTCCATCATCATTGATTTTCTGTTCATTATCTCAGCAACAGTTGCATACATTCAACTCAAATTTGACATATGGATACATCATAGGAATATCCAGGTCAAGGTCGAATTCGGTTTTCAGATTTTTGACAGAGTTATCCCTTGTGAACTTAAAAAAAATCCTTTGTGCAAACAAATTTGAAACTAAATACGGCATTTGAAATTTTGGCTTCCTGTGGGGACATTTGTGGCATTACGACACATCTAGTTTTTTTAATGACTCAACCCTATTTTTGTTGATTATCTCCTCTTGGAAGGAATTTGAACAATTTAGAATTTCCTTTACCACAGAATGCTTTGTGCCAGCTTTGGTTAAAGTTGGCCCAGTGGTTTTAAAGAAGAAGTGGAAAGTGTTAAAAGTTTACAGATGGATGGATGGACAGATGGATAGTTGGAAGCTGGACAACAGTGATCAGAAAAGCTCAGTTGAGCTATCAGCTCATCCTCACAATGTAAAGGTTTTGTGATTTTGGAACTCCACACAAACCTTTTTTGTGTGGAGTTCCAAAATCACAAACCTTGACATTGTGAGGAAGCTATCAGCTCAGCTGAGCTAAAAATTCTTGAAATTTATGAAGGTATAAACAAGATATCACATGCAAAATTTATAAATTATACTAAAATGAAGATTCAAAATAACGTAAAAAGCAAATTAATCTATATAAATGTATTTACATTGTCTTTAATCTTTGTTGTAACATTTCCAGGAATTCCTCTATGCCTTTGCCTGACGTACATGAAATAAAGCACACTGCAAACTGTTCATTCTTTTGTAAAAAGTTTTCTAAAGAGGACAGGTCTGAATCTGGCAACAAGTCACATTTGTTCAAAACCAGTAATACATCACTACCAAAGGGAGAAAATTCATAATTCTGTAATCCAGCTTTATTTGAGGCAATCTGTGAATCTGTAGATGTGTTGCTTGTTGAAAAGCTTTTGAACCTTGTCAATGCATCTGATAAAAGTCCTAAATCTTGGAAGTAATCTGTAATAATATCCTGAATTGATGTTGTTTTGGAAAATTTACATAGATCTGCTGCCTCAAGAACAATAATCTTCAGATCCGCTTGTTCTGCTCTGGGTGAGAATAAATATTATTATGAATATTTAACAGACTGAAAATTTATATCATTTAACTATATTCAATTAACCAATAACATGTGCTACAATTAGTTATAACTCCTCTGGATTTTACAATCATGAAATTTAAAATTGAGTTAAAAATTCTTATATGAAGTTTTATTAGCTCACCTGAGCCAAAGGCTCCTGTGAGCTTTTTCTGATCAAAGTTTAGCCATCATCCATCTGTCTGTCTGTTAACTTTTTACAATTTTAATTTCTTCTCCAGAATCAATGGGCCAAATTCAACCAAACTTTTCATAAAGCATCCTTGGGTGCTGAAGGGGATTTAAGTTCGTTCAAATGAAGGGCCACACCCTCTTCCAAGGGGAGATAATTATTAATAAGAATAAGTGAACAATTCATGGCATCATTCAAAAATCTTCTCAAGAACTAATGGGCCAGAAAAGAACAAAAGCTTCCTGACATAGTGTAGATTCAAGTTTGTTCTGGGGGTAGGGTGGGGCCACAATGGGTGATCAAAGTTTTGAAAAGGAATATATAGGAAAAATCTACTTCTCAAGAACAGGCAAGCCATGATTAATGATATTTATATGGAAACATCCTCAGGTACATGTGGTGTAGATTCAAGTTTGCTAAAATTATGACCCCTTTGGGTAGGGTGAAGCCACAATGTAGATTAAAATTTGTTCAAATCATGACTCCCAGAGGTAGGATGGGACCACAATGGGCAATCAAAGTGTTACATAGCAGTATATAGGCAAAATCTGATGAAGAACAGCGAAGTCATTGTTAGCCATATTTACATAGAAAGATCCTCAGGTGGTGAAGATTCAAGTTTGCTCAAATCATGACCTCCGTGAGTAGGGTGGGTCCACAATGGGTGATCAAATGTTTACATATCATTATATAGGAAAAATCTTTTAAAATTCTTATTCTAAAGAACAACAAAGCCATTGTTAGTCATATTTATAAGGATGCATCTTCAGGTAGTGTAGATTCAATTTTGTTCCAATCATGACCCCTGTGGGTAGGATTTGGCCACAATGGGGAATCAAATATTTACATAGTAATATATAGGAAAAAAAATCTTTAAGATTTTTCTTCTCAAGAACAGCAAAGCCATGGTTAGTCATTTTTATATGGAAGCATCCTCAGGTAGTGTAGATTCAAATTGTTCAAATCATGATCCAGGGTGGTAGGGTGGGGCCACAATATGTGTTCAAAGTTTTACAAAGGAATAGATATGAGGAGAAAATCTGCTGATGAAGAGCAGCAGGACCGTAGTTCCTCAGGTGAGTGATGTGGCCCCAGGCCTCTCAACTGTTCTTTGTAGGTAAATACAAAGCTGCATTTAAATAGAGCCTATAAATTACAATGTACTGTATAAACCTACACCTTGCCTCATTATACCTCTGTATAGCTCTGTGTACCCCCTCCTTTTCAATGACATCCTCTGTCTCCCGGAGTCCTGCAGTATCACTCAGAAGAACAGGGTATCCCCCCACATTGAGTGCAGTCTCCACCACATCTCGAGTTGTTCCTGGGATAGGGGACACAATAGCAGCTGGTCTCTGAGCTAAAAGAAAAGTCTACAAATATCTTACTCAGTATATACCATTTGAGAACCTTGAGCCACATTCTTAATGGATGTCAATTTGTTTTAAGAGTGTTGATATCAGGATTATGAAATTTGACTATTGTTAATAAAAATATCTCAATAGTTATCAAACCATGAGATATACAAATCAATGAAAAATATAACATGGCTGCAGCAAAAATTCCTCTTCCTTGAGAGTTGTATTATCACACAGTAAAATCAATAATAATGAACTACTACACCGTTTACTTATTCTTCATATGGTACTTGTAGCGGATTTTTAATTTTATTTCATTTCTTGATAGATCATTAAATTCAAGATGCATATCTTTTTTAATGGCTGAAAAGGGGATGTTTTCTTTGCCTTTTTTTTGAGCTTCACTTAAACCTTTAGAGTCTCCCTTTGCTTTAAACTTTCTGATGACTTACAGATCGTGTTCAGCAGAGTGCTTTTGCCCACATTAGGTTTGCCCACTATCACGACATGGACACCATTCCTTAGTCTCTCCCCACAGCGGTGGTCATCCAGGTGACTGCTTATCTCATCATTCAGTCGGTCCCCTTCAGCAGTTACTTGACGTGAAAAAGATAAAAACTGCATTTCAACATTATATTATATATTAAATTTGGAAATGTGGAAAATATACAAAACATTCTCTGTTTAAAAGAAATCAATGACTATTACCAGTCTATGATAACTGAAAGTTAATACTAAATCACTACCTTCATCTCCTCTGTGATATCCACATTAGAATCAGATTTTTATGAGATTAATGTCTCTTACCCTCACTAAGAAGATCATCTTCCAGACTCTCACTCTCAGAAAAATCTATGTAGGCTTCAATATTGGCAGCAGCCTGTAAAATAATTTGTATTTATATCATTAAATGATTCCACCTTTCACAGATGTATGGTCCAAGCTACATCTTAATATTCACTTTTCATTTTAAAGGCATATAAGCTTGAAAATTTTCTAATTTGTTATTCAAGAGGTGAACCCAATATTATACATATTATATAGTGCTCCTTCACACTGTAAATCCATCATTCTAATTTATAAGAAACTAGAAGCACTGTGAGCACTGAGCTCACAAAATGATTCCCCCACTCCCATTCAAATATAATGGAAAAATCCTTGTTTTTCTATTTGAAATCCAAAACATCTGCCTGGTAAGAACAAGAAAGATTCTGTGGGAGTCTCATTAAATTCTGTTCAGTGGTATAGGAGGAGAGATGGGTACATGTACCCCTAAGATTATAGAAATAATGTCAGTGTCCAGGTTTTGCTAAGGGAAACCCCAAAAATCTGTCCGATCAAAACAAAATATAGAAGGTGCACAATGGCACTATGTAATAAAGATTTTTTTTTAATTTCGTTAAATTTAATCCAGTGGTATAAAAGTAGTTGTGGATAAGAGATGGGTACTCCATATGTTATAGAAAGAATAGCAGTGTCCATATTTTGCTATGGTAAACCCCAAATATCTGTCCGATCAAAAAATAAAATAGGAGGTACACAATGGCACTATGTAATGAGATTCTGTGAAAGTCTGATTAAGTTTTATTCAGTGGTATAGGAGGAGTTGTAGATAAGAGATGGGTACCCCCATGTTATAGAAAGAATGGCAATTCTATATTTTGCTATGGGTAACCCTATTTATCTGCCCGAAAAAAAAAATAAATTAGAAGGTCACAATGGCACTACGTAATAAGATTTTTTGAAAGTCTGATCAAATTTTGTTCAGTGGTACAGGAGGAGGTGCAGATAAGAGATGGGTACCCTAAGTGTTACGGATGGACAGACACCCCCATTACTATATTCCCCCACTTGAAAAGCGGAGAGTAAAATAAATATCTATGTAATTTATTGTGAATAAGAAATTTCGTCAGGCAGCCTACTTTTATGGCCCTGTTTCTCCATCCAGAGTACAGTTTTCCTAGGTCCCCCTCCATCTGTCGCAGTGCCTGCTTCCTTTGGGCCTCCGTCTCGGCATGAATTAAATCCCCTAGACCCTCTACTTCAGTCAAATCTAGCTTCCCATTCATGAAAGCCCTGAAATCATGTAAAAGCAACTGTTAGGTCTGCCACATTCATAATTCAAATTTTCGTCCATAACTAAAATAGTTTACTAAATCTCAAAAAAGTAATATTCTCTCCCAGGTAAACTACAAATATATGAATTAAAGTAGAATGAAGTACAGTCAAATCTTGTTATCTTGAACTTGATGGGACCAATAAAAACCTTTGAAATATCAAAGACATCAAAGAATTCAAGATATTGAATTCAAATACATAAAGTAATAATGTAATAGTGCTTGGGTGCTTCCAACCTACTGACTTATCCACGGTATTCAAAATACATGTACCAAAGTTCAGCTGTAGTTCTTTTCTTAACTGCATGAGAAGTAAAAATACAGATAAAGATACAGTCTTTCTCTTCAGTTGATGTAACTCACCGTTTTGTAAACTCTCCAGGTTCTGCATGTCTGTATTTTGAGAGATTCCCCAGGCTTGTAACCATGGCAGCAATGACTGCTGAGCCTCCATGAATTTGGAACTCTACACAGTCTTCTCCTGTAAAACTTTCAGGGGCTAAAATGATTTTAACAATAATTAAAAACTGAATCTATAAAACACAGTTATTTTTAAAGCAGCACTCAAATGTTGGTACTTGGCAATTAAGACCTGGAAAGAAAAATGATCTAATGATGTTGAAATCATATGAGGATTTTTTTAAACTATATAATTATGTACTTTAAATTGGTAACTACATGTATTTACACAATCATTACTGTTAATAAAGTTAGACAAATTAATATTATAATGAATTTTCTGATAATTTTTGTACTTGTTTTGTCTTCTTTTTTTTTGTGAAGAATGCTTACATATAGTTGTTGATGATGACATACTATAAATTCACATATTTTTGTGGGGTCAAATTTTCGTGGCTTGAGGAAAAAATATTCATTTGCTTTCTGGGGATTTGATTTCATGGATGAAGAATTGTTGAGTAGTTACATGTATGTATATGACATTTTACATTTCGTAGTAGACATGAATTAGTGGGTCTTTTGATATCTTGAAAACAACCAAAATTAAACCCCCATAAAAATTAATAAATTCACATAGTACTGTGCACATCGAATGAAAATAAATTGTCAAGAGAATGTACTAACTTACACGTCACATACTCACAAATACAGAAATAAGATTATGAAAAGTACAATTTTACATGTAGCTTAATATTAATTTGTTTTGTGCTTGCTTGTTTAATGTTTTATTTTCTTCACTTTTATGGATTTTTTTATTTCTTTATAATTCAAAAAATGTACCGGGTGATTCACAATAAACCTCAATTATTTGTGTGAACTTACATGGGAACCAAATGATTAATCCCCTGTCTATTGGCTCCCCAGTGCTTGGATCTACTATCCTCTTGAGATGAGTCTTTCTGGGAGATGGTAGACTTGTTATTGAACACATTTGATGGATGGAATCTTTTGCCTGAGGTCCTGACACACGGATGACTGCTACACCACACTTCCCATACCCAGAAGACAGAGCAAATATTGTATCTCCTACCTGTGGTAACGTATTAACTCTTCTACGACCAACTGTAAATCAAATCATTGTTTATCATTATTTTCACTGAAATTGTGTAGTAGATGGCTCCTAGATGACTGATGTAGACTAAGCTTTGGCTCCTCACTTAAAATATAACTTCCAAGTTTCAACCAACTCAGCAATTATTTAATTTTTTTTGTAGGTCTACACAGACAAGATTACCATATACTGAACTTCTGATGCATTTTCAGTTTGTTATTTGACCTAGCCTCAAGTAAACTAAAGTAAAATAAACTGAGAACATACTTTACTAATTTCAAATTAGTATAACTTTTGAAACAATTTTAGAAAACATAATTTTAATCATGAGTTTGAATTCAAATCTTATGTTTTTTATATAAAAACAGAGATCTTTAAAATCTAAATTTTGACTCGTCTGTTCTCAGTTTATAGTCTTGGATCCTGGATAAATATATACGGTGAAAGGGGTATTTTCCCCTATGGCTATGAATATTTTTATTACAAACTTAGTATTAAATACAGTTGGGTTTTTTTTTGCATATGCAATATGCCTGAGTTAACAATAGCCATATCAGCTTCCAGGGCCGATATGGATCCTGCAAGGCTGATATGGATCTGCAGGGCTGATACTACAGGGTTATTGAACTTATATTGGTGAATATTGGCACGAGTTGGCTGTACAAATTGCATGAGCTTGCTAGTGCATTTGTACAGCCAATGAGTGCCAATATTCACCAATATAAGTTCAGTAACTCCTTTATTATATAGCTGAAACATCTCCCATTGATTTATATTCATTAATATTTCAATTTAATAACTTGAGAATTTTCAGTATAGGTATTTAAAGTTACGTCTGTCCTGTAAGTGTTCAATATCGCATAATTCCAATGACCCTACCAAGCGTTATGATATGCTTATTGAGGTTTTATTGCATGAGGCTAATACATACCAAATTATTTATTGATAATTTCATTTTGCGTGAAAATAAACACATCTTACCTAGCTGCCACTACCTATCATAAATTTGCCTTTGAGAGGTTACCTGAGGACATTTTTTGTTTCCAACGGGACATTTGATGAATGCTCGTATTCGGAATGTTTTGGGCATAATCATATACATAATACAAACTCAGTGTTCAATAAATGCCAAGATATTGAACACTTAAATTATCTAGACTTTTAGTAGTTTTTTTATTATAGACTATTTATTAGCTATATAATAAAGATTTATATCACTTTAGCTGTATAATATCACACCCCTTGGAGACTAAATTCTTTAAATAAAACAGTACTTATGAAAAAACACCTATTTTTTTGCTTGTTCACATTGTAATAATTTTAAATTTCTGTTCTTGATATACTAAGCTAGTCAGTGATTATGTATTTGTATTTGCTCAAGTAGACGTGTGCTATTATACAGTTCAGGGAGTTAGCAAGATTCCAGTTCCCAAAGGTCAGGACTATTTCCCGAGTCGAAGCCAAGGGAAATAGTCCTGGTTGAGGGGAACTGGAATCTTGCTAACTCCCGCAATGATATACTTTTAACTGTTTTATTATACTGATACAAACATAAAATTTAGAGGATTCAGATAGCATGATTTCAGAGCAGGGACTAGCTCACTGGATTAACACATGGGGGTTAGTCCATTCACATATCATACCAATGAAAAAGTAAAATCTAGAGGATTAGAGATAACCGGGAATTAGCTTTCGAAGCAAGGATTAACTCACTTGACTAACGCACGGGGATTAGTCCATTCATAACGAAATTAACGATTTCTACAGAATTACATGTATTCACATCTAACGATCTTATGATATATAAGGAAAAAATCAGTAGAGGTATATTAATGTTAGATATAATTACTATCTCACTGATGTTTTTTTTCCGTAAACTTCTTCTATAGTTTTTGTTGTTTTACTACACACAGAATGTGAGATTTTTGTTATATTTTTTCTGGAACACACCATATCATGTACCTTGACTGAAAGTATGTGGACGTTGACAGCATGGCTCAAACGAATTCAGTCTGGAAGTTATTGAATCTAATATTTTCCCTTTGAGTAAAAAACGTCGCAAGAAGCGGTATTTTGACATAGTGATATTAGGTTAATAATAGAATTGACTTTGCATTCTCTCTTTCATTAAACCTTCTGTCTAGTCTGAGAGTGATCTCAGACAGTAACCATCACTGTGACATTGACTGTCTGTGATCAGACACGGTTCACGGTTCGGTGTTCCACGTTTTTAATCGGAAGCCATTAGCCACTTGCGAACAAAGGAAACAGGAAGATAACAAAAATATTCCCGGATTGAGGATAGTCGTGAATGTATACTTGGTATAGATCTACATAACGTTAGGTCCCTGCTACCATTTATGGCAATATCCTGTTATATATAGAGGATATTCAATGTTTTGTAGATGAATACTGGTGTCTCATTCACAGGCACTTGGGGTATGGACCCCCCCCCCTTTTCCTTTTTTTTTCTTTTTAAATCTGGGGTCGAATCACCTTTTTCCTATTTTTGTATTCTAATATGCACTGTATGTTATCAATAATGTAACTCTTTTGTCTCTATAAGCTGTTTTTAAATATATCGTTTTTTCGACTGATACATAAAAAGAGAGAAGCCTTACAGAGAAAATATTCATATTCATCTACAAAACACTGAATTTTCTGTTTATTACATTTTCTTAGATTTCCCTTTGCCTTTTCATAACACAGTGTCATAGGCTGTGACGTCATAGTTGAGCGGTTGAGACGTCATTGCTAAGTGATTGCGAGATTGAAAAACGTTGTAAATATGGATTTTTAACGACATATTTGGAAAAACTTTGGCAGTATAACTATTAGTCTCTGTCAGGATGGCTCATTAACTCTATCTTATAACAGGCCGGGGATTTTTTTTTTTTTTTAAAAAATACTCTTCGTGAAGGGAAGGAAAATTGTAAATTTTGCCGCACTTCTGATATTCTTACACTGTACAAGTACCATTTTGGTATCCTTTCACGCTGTGTCAGAATATCACTTTTATTCAGTAAATAAATTACAGTATTTCACTGTTGAAAATGTAATAAAGACCGTTTCACGTTAGCGATGCTAATAATTTTTGACGTTATTGGCGTGAAAAATCATTGATCATGTGAGCTTACTTAAAGTATATATATTTTTTAAATTTCTTCCCTCCGAGGTAAATTTATTTAAGAAATGAATTTTTAAAAATTTTTGAGAGTTCATGAGGACATGAACATGATGAACTACGACGCTTCACGCCAGCATGATTTAAGGACATGCGCAATGTACCTTACCTATAGATAATTTTTCAAGATATTCTTAATTTAAGATTTTAGTGCCATCAGATGTTCGTAGACAAAAAAATCAGCATACATTACTAGGGGTCTTGAAAAGATATCAGTTGATGAAAATTCTTGTATGATTCAAAGAAAAATACACAAAAAATTACTAAACATATATTCTAGATGTTTTGTTTATCCAAACTTGTTTTAGAAGAAGTGTACAACAGCATATATAGACACTAAAATGTAACACACAGTTCCTTTAAGTATTGGAACTCTTCAACTCCAGGGAAAAAGACAATGAAGTTCAAACTACGTTGAGTATGTCCTTAAGAAATGAATTTAATTTTTGAAGATTCATAAGGACATGAACTACGACGCTTCACGCGGCATATTTCACGAAGCGCTTTAGCGCTTCATGATAAATATGCCGGCATGAAGCATTGTAGTTCATGTACCTCATGAATTTTCAAAAATTAAATTCTTATAATTCCAATTACGAAGTTTTATATTTTCTCTTTGAAGCCTCCATACAATCCGTTATTTTCTGTATACAGCGTAGGAATACTTTATGTCGCGATGTGGAAATGAAACGTAATCGAGATGAACATCGATAAAGTTTAACTTAAATTATCAAAAACATTCAATAAAACAAACTTATAAAAACTCTTCGAATATTGTTTAAGTCAAGTAATATCGTAAATACAGGTAGACTTAAGAAGAATTCGTCCTTTTTCATGTTGACATTAACGACAGACGCTCTAAAATGAAAGTAGCATACCGACGACACCTTTGATTTGCTATATATGGCAAGAAATTAGTCCCCGACTTTCAAGTATGTTCATTTGTAACCAGTAACAAGGGTTACAAAAGCCTGTAACTGAGTAGCATTTCCTCAGTTATTTAATGGTTACAGTGGTTACAGTACGTGGTTAAAAATGGGGACTTCATGGTACAATTTTCACTTTTTTACTGGTTACAATGGTTACAGTAGTTACAGCAGTTACACTGTGGTTAAAAAATGAGATGTTACAAATGAGCATACTTGAAAGTCAGGGCTAATTTCTTGCCATATCTATGATTTGCTCTGGTTTGTTTAAAGAGGGACATAAAATATGAATTTGATGCTAATAAGGCAAAAGTCTGAGGTACGTTTATCTTTCTTATCAGCTACCGAGAACTGAGCTGATTTGCTTAGCATTAGGAACGACGATACTATCCTATGAGAGATTTAACTTGAGATCTGACAGTGATCGACATAAACATAACATTCCCGTCTGTCAGTCCTGTTTGTCGTCAGTATTGTTTTTATATAATTTAAAGTTTCTGTAATCGTTTAGCTAAAACAGACTAAACGTAACGATTTGTTTCTTTTTTTTTTTTTTACAATAAAAGCTACATGTAGGCCAAGAAAGTAGTTCTGGATGAGAGATTTATCGATGTGTAAACTTTTTCTTGAATTTGCTCTCGTCCAATCACAATAAATAAAATTGAGATTGGAATTATGAGAAAATGAACAGTCTTCTAATATTGCAAAGAATCTTAAGGAAAAATATTTGGAAATGTAAATATTTCATCATATGAAGTCGTCAGACAAATAATGTAAATATAAGATCTGAATTTAATTTTTGAGAATTCATGAGGTATATGAATTACAGCACCTCAGGCATGGACCCCCCTCTCCCCTTTTTCCCATTCTCTTTTTATGTGTCAGTCGAAAACGATATATCTAAAATCAGCTTATAGAGACAAAAGGGTTACATTATCGATAACATACAATGCATATTAGAATACAAAAATAGGAAAAGGTGACTCGACCCCAGATTTAAAAAAAAAAATGGAAAAAAGGGGAGTGGAAGGAGTGGGGGGCTTACCCCAAGTGCCTGTGGTTTTACTGACTATATGACAAACGCAATGACTTCAACTTTTCCATGAAAAGTGAAGACAACGATCAGTAATCACGTTGAAGGGTTCAATTAAACAATACAAATTGTGCGCAGAGCAAACTTTTACACCGGATGTTCAAAACTTATCAAAGACTCTAAATTACATAATATACAAAGACGAACTAAAATTTGAAAAATACTTGGATATTCTATCCCGAAAAGATGCCATTAATTTGTGCAAATTCCGTACTTGCAATCATTATTTACCGATTGAAAGTGGACGCTGGCTAAATGAACCAAGAGAAACGAGACTATGTAAAAAATGTAATTTAAATGAAATAGGCGATGAATTCCATTACATATTAAACTGCACGTCAGTGATACACGAAAGAAATAAATGCTTATCGCAAAAACAATTACGGTTTAAAAATACAATTACATTCAGAGAAATAATGAATTCAGAAAAACAATCCTTTTTAAGAAAACTGTCTACATTTATTAGAAAAATTACTAAAACGTGCTCCCCGAATTAGTAAAGATCTATAATTTTACTATTTGTCTATCCTCATACTCACGCATGCTAAAATTTGTTTTTATTTGTCATCATTGTTTACATTTATATCTCTGTATACAATTGTAAAATTGTGAAGAGATTAATAAATTCAGTTCAGTTCAGTTCAGTACATCAGAGGTGGGATCAGATGCCATGGAGAAGTAAGCTTTCCCTGTCAAGAGGTCACACCCGCTGCGTGCCCTTTGCCATGATCGTGTAAATGGAGATTCAGTATGAGAAAATGGTCCATCAATTTGTATGAAAGACGTCAGTGAACCAGCCTAGCTTCAGATTGTTTTTGTAAACAAGGTCATTGTATCGACCAAAGAATTTGCAAAATGTTGACTGTACATGAGATCATTGATATCCTTAAATCATCAACTTATTTGTTCGTACATAGAACACGCTCTTGTGTCACCAGGGAGACACAAACTCGATATGCAAACGATAATGGTATATTGCTAAAAAAAGAGGATCTGACGATAGAAAAGCAGGCCCGTAGGAAGCAATTTCAATTTGGGGAGGGGGGTGGGGTGGGCATAGTCACACATTTTCAGTTGGGGGCACAATCAAATACCCAAAATTCCTTGACAAGCCAAAAAAGTCATCAGACGTTTTATTGAGAGGACACAAGCATACAATAGCCATGTTTTCTATAGTAATCTATATTTCGGAAAAATTATTGGGGGCACGCCCCCCCCCACCGGGGGGGGGGGGGAGGGGGTCCTACGGCCATGAAAAGTTAGAGTTATCATGTTTATCATAAAATTTAGTTGATAGTTTTCCATCAATGTCTTTCTCTAGTAAATAGTTCAATTTGGATACAAAATACATGTGGAATGTAAATATTTAAGCATTGAATCATTGTTTTTTGAAAGATATAGTCTCATAACTTCAACGGAGTGTGCAAACAAATTGAGTAACGCGCGTTAGAGCATTATGACAAAATTTTTTGCACACACCGTTGCAGTTATGAAACTATATCTTTCAAAAAATAATGATTCAATGCTTATATTTACATTTTTAACCCCTTGTCTTGACTGCAAATGTGATTTAGATTTAGATTTCTAAATCCCTGTATTATCCTTCGGGTAAGTTACAATTAATGGAAGAGCCATTGAAACGGCTTCTGTTCAATGTGAGCGTGAATTTTGAATTTCACTTATGACGTTGCACTACCACGGCGTTTCAATGTTTGTGATGTCAAAGGAAAAAAAACCGCATGCTTTAACCTTTTGACTTCCTGTCCTTGTTATGGTGTTTTTAATGCCGTGGATTTTCTCACATTTTATAAGTGAAATACATGTAGAATGAAAATATAAAGTGTTGAAAAATCAACTTTTCTTATTTGCTGAGTATTATTCCACTATCACCTGCTCATGGTGTTTATGTATCCAAACGTGTTCAATTCACAACAGCATGCTCTGAGAGGAAGGGTACTGGCAAATAAGTAGATGTGATGGGGATTTCAACAACCTCGTTAAAGTCACCATTTCGAAAATTTTATATGGGCGTTATAATGTCATAATTTGCAAATATAGTCTGTCATTGGGTTATATTATTGCTTACATTTTTTCATACCCCTTGTTAGGCCATTGCTTAATACTAAATTACTCCTTCTACCTGATCAATACATAGAGCTCATGGCGGGTGTGACCGATCAACAGGGAATTAATATTCTTACTCCTCTTAGGCATCTTATTCAATCTCTGGATTTTCCACGGGACTGTGATTTATGTCCTGTTCACAAATTTGTATTGTTTTTAAGAATTTTGAGGTCTTTTACTGTTTGTTATTTCCACCTTTTTCATTTTGATTGAAAATTACGCATACAGGTATATTTTGTAAAGAAAATTCAGTCGGTTGATCGAACCTGTACTTCAACTTATAAAGTATATTGGAAAAGGCTTCTTCTTCCTTTTCAGTTTTTTTCATTTTATAAAGAAAGATTATCAAATTTCAGATCTATAGTAGTTTAATTACACCATATGCCATTGTCATTTCCGATTTCAGTTCATATCTTTTGGCAGTCGTAGGACATTAAAAATTGTTCTATAATGAATAAATGAAAAATAAATGAGAAAGGGTTGAAATAGTTGAATAATGATACAAAGAAAATTACGTGTCACGTTTTTTAACTGTGGGGTGAATAAGTTATGGAGCTCGAGAGTCTTAATTATATACAAGAGCTAGAGCTTTTGTGTAAAATTAAAGCAGTTCTCAATTTTCAAGCTGGATATAGTATTCAATAAGTACGAATCTGATGATATTTCCGTTTTTGGTAAGTCTTGTAGATTATCCTTTCACCGGTATATAGTATTGCCTGTGGCGATAATATGCGAAACATTCACTATATATATATATATATATATATATATATATATATATATATATATATATATATATATATATATATATATATATAAGTGAAAATAGTACAGTATTGATTGCATGCCTTCTTTGTACAGTTAGGAAATGAAATTAAATAATTTGATTTTTGCGATAGGTCTTTAGAAAATTCGAGACCTTCCTATCTAGAGTGCTACATGTTAAGTATAAATTGAATATTTCGAATTGAACATGTATCAGTATTCATGTTAATCTAAAGAATAAATGCACATATTCGGTGAACAGCTCAGTAGAAGGAAAAAGGTTAAAGTTTCTCAAATGCAAGTCAAACTCCAGGTCAAGAGATCAAAAATGTTGGTACCTAAAGAAAGGTTATACATGTGAAATATGAAAGCCCTAGCACCAACCGTTGAAAAGTTATGGCAAAGGTTAAAGTTTTTTTTATAAGTAAGTAAAACGTCAAGGTCAAATGGTGCCCAAGGGAAGGTCTTGTCACAAGTGATACACATGTTCATGAAATGTGAAAGCCCTAGAACCAATCGTTCAAATGTTATGGCCAAGGTTAAAGTTTTTAAAAGTAGGTCAAACTCCAAGGTCAAGGCCAATGCCAATGCCAAAATTGTTGGTATCCAATGGAAGGTCTTGTCACAAGGAATATACACGTGAAGTATGAAAGCCTCTAGCACCAATTGTTTAAAAGTTAAGGCCAAGGCTAAAGTTTTTCAAAAGTAAGTGAAACTCAAAGGTCAAGGTCAAAGGGTCAAAGTTGTTGGTATCCGAAGGAAGGTCTTGTCACAAAGACTACACATGTGAAGTATGAATGCCCTAGCACCGTTCGTTCAAAAGTTATGGCCAGGGTAAAAGTTTTTTTTCAAAAGTAGGTCAAAATCGATAAAGGAATCAAATGTGCAATATTAAAGCCATAACTCCACTCTATTAAAAGTTATGGGCAAGGTTAAAGTTTTTTGCGGACAAACGGAAAGACAGACAGCTAGACAAACAGACGGACGGACGGACGGACAAGGCAAAAACTATATGTCCCCGGATCTTCGATTAATATAGTATCAATTAATATCTTTAGAAAAAATTTACACTCAATCAACATATATTTTCAAAAAATTAAGATATATATGGAGTGAAGAAAATTTATGTTGTTTGAAAAATCATATAATTTGACCATCATCTCAAAATTTACCTCACTGGCCCCAACTGGCAGATGAATGAAATTAACAATTTAAGGTCCAACTATCTAGTGTGTCCTATTTGTAACCATTGTTTGGCCAGTGGCAAGGAACCTGTTAGGGGAGCAAAAAAAAAAAAGCAGCAAAAATGAATGTACATGACAGAATAAAATTGATTTTAAAAAAAAAAGGAAAAAAAAACCATTGCTTTTTATTTTTTTTTAATTTCCTCCTCCTACGGGACTTTATCATTCTGGGGTTCGTAAACCTAGCAATAAACATACTCCAAGGTTAAGAGATAAAAAAAAATGTTGTTACCCTAACTAAGGACTTGTGTCATTGGATATATACCTGGTAAATATGAAAGCCCAAGCACCAATCATTCAAAAGTAATTGCTAGGGTTAATGTTTTCAAAAATGGGTCAAACTCCAAGGTCAATGTCAAAGGGTCAATTTTAATGGTATGCAGGGGAAGATCTTGTCATAAGAAATGCAATGCAAAATATGAAAGCTCTAGCACCATCTGTTCAAAAGTTATTTTTTTCAAAAGTAGGTTAAACTCCAAGGTCAAAAGGTCAAAATTGTTGGCATCCAAAGGAAGGCCTTGTCACAAGGAATATACCTGTAAAATTTGAAAGCCAAGGTACTATCTGCTCAAAAGTTATGTTTTTAAAAAGTGTGCCAAACTGTAAGGCCAAGGTCAAAAATATTTACACCCATGGAAAGGTCGTATCACGATGAATACACATGTGAAATATAAAAGCTCTAGCACCAACTGTTCAAAAGTAATGGCCAAGGTTAAAGTTGCGTTAATTTTTGCAAAAGTAGGTCAGACTCCAAGGTTAAGAGGTCAAATATGATGGTACTTAAAGAAAAGTTTGTCACAAGAAATAAACATGTGAAATATGAAAGCCATAGCTCCAACCAATTAAAAGTTATGGGCAAGGTTAAAGTTTTTGCGAACAAACAGAAACACAGACAGACGGACGGACAGGGCAAAAACTATATACATTTACCCCCAAATTTTCGATAACGGGAGCATAAATACATGAATTCCTAGAATATCATTCCTATATTTCGATCTCTGATATCATTTTCCGCTTTTGTTAAGTTTAAGAGATTTGCCTTTTACTGTATATATAAAAAGACTATAAACCGTAAAGGGCAAATCTCTAAAACTTAACAAAAGCGGAAAATAATATCAGATATCGAAATATAGAAATGATAGACTAAGAATTTATGTATTTTGATAAGTTTTTGTCTATTAAAAATTCTCAGAAGCTGGGAAGGAGGGTTTATTTACACCATCCATTCGTCAGGTGTTTGTGATAAAAATTGGGTCTTTTCGCATTTAATGCACACAGCTGATCAGGTACGTGTTGACGTTAGCTTTGCGCCTTAGGGAAGAAAAGCTTTAATTTGAAGAGTAATACACGTTGTAGTTTACTATTTCAATATTAAAAACAAAAATTAATACTTCGGATGATATTATAAACAACCAATAATATCGGGATGTTTTTTTTATTAAACCGAAAGTAGAAAAAAATATGACTGATGATGAAAAGTACAAAGCTTTATTAACTGCTCAAAGTATGATTAAAATATTTTTGAATTTAACAAAAAACTGTAAACAAGCAAGTCTCATGTCAATAAAATTTAATTATTCTAGCCCAGAATTAAAGCTGAACACGACTTGTAAATAGGCATAGACGCCATGTTGGGGTAAAACCCTTCTGAATACATAACACGCTTTTTTGTCACAGGTACGTGTGTGTGACCGAGTTGGTTATATATAACCTTTGTTTACATTTTACTGCACTTAAGGAGGCTCATTACACCCACAGTTTATTTTAGATTTCACTACAGCACCACTTAGTGGTGAAATCTTTACCTTTACCTTTCCAAGACCTACATTTTACTGCACTTAAGGAGGCTCATTACACCCACAGTTTATTTTAGATTTCACTACAGCACCACTTAGTGGTGAAATCTTTACCTTTACCTTTCCAAGACCTAAATTCCGAAGATATTTGCAATTTATTTAAATCAACAGGCCATACCATCCAACTAACTGCATTACAGAATAAAAATAAGACCTTAAAGACAAAAATTAGTGAACTAATACGGGAATGTGATAATCCTCAGACAGTAACATCCACTCTTCATAAACAAATCTCAAAGTTACAGAACAGACCACACGAACGAAGACCATACGAGTCAACTAAACGTGTCGACAAACAACACCCTTTCCTCCCGCTACCAACACCAACCAGGCTTTATAATTGGTACCAACATCCCAGTGTGCCATATGCTAATTTCCGGTGATTCCTGAGACGAGGACGTCTCATTTTTCGAAGCGAGAGGGAATTATCACGGTGTAAATTTTGATATAAACAATTTTAGTGGCCTGTTTTAACTATCTTTGAAATATACTTTTAATCTATTGTAATTACTTAAAACAACATAAAAGACTAATTATTCTAATTACCATGTAACTCAAAATGTGCCAATTTAATCAATTTACTCAACATGTCATGAGTTATTCTATCTAAGCCATCTGTCACTCATGTTCAGAACTATGCTAACTGTCATTGTTATACTTTATTATTTATATGTTACATGCATCATTGTTAATCAGTTAAGTCCTAGGCTTCGGATTGTTCGGGTGCAATTTTTGGATTTCCAGAATTCACCCTACCGACCTAAGTTATAATAAAGTGCTATTCCATCGTTAGCATTTTTATGTTTCATTGTTGCCGGAAAGTTTTGACACTTATTTTCCCCGGTGATAATACCCTTATCACCTGCATATGGGGTTTATGTTCAGTTGATTCGATACCCAAAAGTATGTTCTACGTATGAACAATTTCTAAAACGAGGTAAATTATTGACAAACAAGTTAATGAAACAAGAATATCAACAGTCTCGTTTAAAGTCATCATTTCGTAAGTTCTATGGTCGATACAATGACCTTGTCAGCAAATACAATCTTTCATTAAGTCAAATGCTGACTGACTTTTTTTCATACTAATTGTTAGGCCATTATTTACACACTGATTTGTCGACGGAATTTCCGTTATTTCCCGATCATGACAAGGAGCACACGGCGGGTGTGACCGGTCCGCAGGAGATGCTCACTCCTCCATGGCACCTGATCCCACCTCTGATGTCTTAGACGTCCGTGTTTGCTCTGCTCCTATTTTGTAATGTTTAATGGACTTTTGAGCTCGATTACTGTTCGTTATTTCCACATTTTTCATGGCTCCAAACCAAATTTTGGCCTGGCCTTACTCAAAAATAATTTCTTTTTCAGAATTTGATTGATTTTGTTCATTTTTTATTGGTTTTCAGTTTTCCTAAGTTAAGGCAGATAAGTAATATATGTCTGTTGATTTGTAAAATAATCATGTACAACCACCAATCTGATTTATTTTATTCATTATCCATCAATCAATTTACATGTATTTCTTTCTATGATTTGAAAACGGTTAACGCTAGATGGTACAATGTACAGGTAGGCGAACACGAGTTATCTTTCATGAGCACGAGTTATCTTTCATAAGTGTGCGGACTACGTAGGGTGAATATGTGCGGATTTATTCACTCGTACATGGAATATTCAACATGTGATAAAATATACGGAAAGAAATGAAATATTCTTAAATAATATTTATTTCACTTTTAATTTACAATGGGTAATTATAAATTAAGTCGTACGCGTAAAAGTCGAAATGCCAGTCTATATTAACAATGTATAAACGAAATTAATTATCAAATATTGATAAATTGTTGACAATCGTGGATTTATTTCAATTCAAATAAAAGTCGTTGAACTATATAATCATATTTATTTTTCTTTCAATATTAATTTGTTGTTCGAATGATGCAATTTTATGTTTATGTGCATTGCGAATAGAGAATGCGGGGGGGGGGGGGGTGTTATTATCGAGTGGAAACAGGCACGTATCGTTGCCAAAAAAACAAACAAAAGAAAACAAAACAAAACAAAAACATATGTCTAGAGGCTATCTTAAGATCCCCTCCCCAATTTTTCACCCAATCCAACCCTGATATAGCATTACCTAAGGATTGAGAAGAGAGCCACCGTGTAAGCAGTATCTTTTAAGTCGCGTTAAACACGTGGAATACAATATATTCTTAATCAGGTGGATCACATGTCACTCCATAATTCAAAGATTAATCAATTTTTTTTCGACTCAAGTTGTAAGTTAGATTTTTTCTTATAATTTAATAAAGTATTCATACCTATATATATGCGTATATTCCTTTCTATTCATGTGTAGAATAATGTAAAGGCGAAGACTTCAACAGGCGAGAAGTGTCAGTATAAGAAGGTTCACTTCTCCTGAGGGGGAGGGGGGTTACCCTCGAAAAAAAAAATACGGAAAAAGACCAGAATGGTGCAATTGTATGTCATGAAAAACAAAAGAAAGGTTTTATTTTGGTTTGTTATTTATATTACATTTTTACACATGTATTGTAGTCTAAGTAATTGTTTGGTGTAGAAATTTTCTGTGAAGTTGAAAGACATCCATGATCCTCATTTGACCAGTCGATATAGTAATATATACATATTTTTAGCAATTAATTTATGAAAATAGAATTGTCATGACCACTTAACAGTATTAAGAAATTTTAATCCTGTTTACTTCACCCCTTCACAGTGCTTATGTATCATGTAAACGTCCTTTTTGAATACATTGTTTTACAGCTTTCCCTTCAAAGAGAAATATATCCCGTAAAGAATGTTATTAAACAAAGTCTCAACATGAACTTTTTGTGCAACAATTTTCGTGTTATGTATCTGAATATGATTCAAGGTTCTTTGAAGTCTTAGAAAGGGTCATGTAAAAGGTTGACATTTGTAAAAGTCAAAAATAAATACATGATTCTCCCAACCTACCTGAAGCAGTTAACGTCCCTTCGAGATTATTTTCACTCGTATTAAGAGATGCACCACCATTTATCGGTGTAGGGGTGCAAATTTAGACCTAACCTACCTATAGTTTGTACCAGCTTAGAGTCCAGGACAAAACTCGATAATACTCCATCTTCTATGGAGAGTCACAAGATAAATTTAACATGAAGATATGTCCCTGATCCCAGAGCTTTCTCCACCTACCTGTACTTTGTACCAGATAAGATCTCTGCCAAATATACTCCCTAAATGTACCTGTCATTGATAGATAAGGATTTATTTGGCATTGAAAATATACCCTCATCAAAGAGGGTTTCCCCAACCTACCTGTAGTTTGTACCAGCTAATTGTTCAGGACAAAACTCGGCAATATTCCATCTTCTATGGAGAGTCACAAGATAAATTTAATATGAAGATATGTCTCTGATCCCAGAGCTTTCTCCCACCTACCTGTACCTTGTACCAGATAAGATCTCTGCCTAATATACTCCCTAAATGTACCTGCCATTGATAGATGCAGGATTTATTTGGCATTGAAAATATACCCTCATCAAATAGGGTTTCCCCAACCTACCTGTAGTTTGTACAGCTTAGAGTCTAGGACATAACTCGGTAATACTCCATCTTCTATGGAGAGTCACAAAGATAAATTTAACATGAAGATATGTCTCTGATCCCAGAGCTTTCTCCCACCTACCTGTACTTTGTAAAAGATAAGATCTCTGCCAAATATACTCCCTAAATGTACCTGTCATTGATAGATGCAGGATTTATTTGGCATTGAAATTATACCCTCATCAAAGAGGGTTTCCCCAGCCTACCTGTAGTTTGTACCAGCTAATTGTTCAGGACAAAACTCGGCAATACTCCATCTTCTATGGAGAGTCACAAAGATAAATTTAACATGAAGATATGTCTCTGATCCCAGAGCTTTCTCCCACCTACCTGTACTTTGTACCAGATAAGATCTCTGCCAAATATACTCCCTAAATGTACCTGTCATTGATACATATAGGATTAATTTGGCATTGAAAGCATACCCTCATCAAAGAGGGTTTCCCCAACCTACCTATAGTTTGTACCAGCTAATTGTTCAGGACAAAACTTGGCAATACATCTTCTATGGAGAGTCACAAGATAAATTTAATATGAAGATATATCTCTGATCCCAGAGCTTTCTCCCACCTACCTGTACTTTGTACCAGATAAGATCCCTGCCAAATATGCTTCATAAATGTACCTGTCATTGAAACATACAGGATTTATTTGGCAATAAAAATATATATCAGATCAAAGATAGTTTCTCCAACCTACCTGTAGTTTGTACCAGCTAAAAGTCCAGGAAAAAACTTGGTAATACCAGAGTTTAGTTCACCTACCTCCAACTGGTACCAGATATTTATACAATCAAATTCAAGTACTTTAACTGTCCTACCTCTCACAGACATCTCTGAAGTATTATAAGTTATAACAAACCTACCTGTAACAGGTACCAGATTTTAGTTCACCTACCTCTAACAGGTACCAGATATTTATACCATAAAAATCAAGTACTTTAACCATCCTTCCTCTTAAAAATACCTGAGCAAAACACACCTACCTGTATCAGGTAGCAGATTTTAGTTCACCTACCTCTAACAGTTACCAAATATTTAAACAATGTTCTTCTAATGTTTTAATCATCTCACCTCTAACAGGTACCTGATTATAACACACCTGTAACAGGTACCAGTTTACAATGCATCCACCTGTAACAAGTACCTGGCTATTTTCAACTCAACTACAGATAGAAACATGGAAATGTTATTGAAAATATTTTCAACAGGTACCACAATATTTCAAAATTTATTTGGCAACTGCCTCTTTTCACATGTAATAGCCTGGATCATGGATATTAGCCTGGATAGCTAAGTCGGTAGAACATCTGACTAGTGATGCAGGGTCCAGGGTTTGATTCCTGGTCCAGCCATACATTTTCTCCTTTCCTGTTACATATACTCTCCTCCAGTGGCTTCAACAAAGTTATGACAGTTATGTGTAACTGTTCTTTAAACGTTAAAATCCATTGTAAAACATAATTTTCAATTTAATGTATATGAATTATGAGTTTTTGTTGTTGCAGTACAATTTCATTTAATGCACAATTTTCTTTGGAGACACAACACATTTGTGTATTTCGCATTTTCTGCTTCTATTTCATACTTTCTTCCATTTTCTCCTAAGCCTTAGAAAAGCCAGTGATCACAGATACTTATCAATCATAAGTTTTGCTAAAATACATGATAAACTTCAATCAATGAAATAGTACACTATATATATCTTAATATAAAATGTGACAGTCATAGTAAATCACATACAAATTGCAATTTTAAAGAACCATCGAGATAATAATTGAAGCGCCATTAATATTTTATTATGTTGAAATGGTTTATTAAGGTATGAAATGACAGCAAAGTACTTATTTGCCTGCACATGCTCCTTGGATTTAAAAATCCCTAGTAACATTTTCTTTGTATTTTGCGAAAGAAAAAATATTGTCCAATACAGTATTGAATATTTTTGTTTATGATTTTTTGGGGTAGAGGCGACGCTCAGCTTCAAATAATGGCAAATTCCAAACAACTGATGCAACTAATATCTCTGCTTCAACAAACAAAACATCTCTGAAGTATCGGATGCCTTCATTCATATTTTGTCCCATCCTGTAACACAAAAAAGAAGATGATTCAATTATATTCCTTTGGTTTCAATTTGATTCAGTTGACCCAAATGACAACATTCATTCAGAATTTTAACTTTAATTTAATTTAATTTAATTTTAACAGAATTGTGAACTTGGATATAAAAACTATTGTAAAAGCACTTATTTTCATGGGGTCTATTTTTGTGGTATGAGGAAAAAAGTTTTAACTCGAGTAGATTTGATTTTGTGATTACAGGAAGGAATATATGTGGGTCTCGTCATGACAATGAAAATCAACCCCACACAAAAAATGGTGATTTCACCAACATTACTTAATAAGAACTAACTACCAAAAACTAAAAGGCCCATAGGCCATAATGCTCAACCGAGTTATCTAAGCTCTAATGCTCTTTAACGAAGAAGATCTTTTGTGAGAAAGTGTAAACCACAGACAAATCAGCATTAGCAACAGTTCATCAATTTGGGAATAGTACTGGTACAAGTTTGGAACTCACATTCATCATTGAAAAAAAGTTTATTTAATAAGCACCAATCTATACGTTAGTTAACGCCAGTTAGGAATTTTGCTTTTCAAAATGTCTTTTGCCTTCTAAATGGGCATTAAAAATTTGGACTACGTTGATGGTCTCATCCTAGGACCAAAGTATCTTGATAAAATTGAACATGAGTCTGAAATATCTTAATTGACTTGAATTATTTGGTTGGAAAAAATTTAATTTCAATCCTGATTTTAGCACAACATTAACCAATGCAGGGACCATAATTTGAAAAAAACAAAACAAAAAAAACCCTTTGTGCATAAGTTTGGAAAGTTATAAAGTTAGGCATACAAATTATACTTTGAACATTCTGTGATATACAGCGTCGCCCGCATGGCGCAGTGATTAGAGTGTCTGCTCCAGAGTCGTGGAGTAATTAAGGAGTTGATCCTTATGTCGCGGATTCGAATCCCACTGAAGAAAGTGGAGACCGGTCTTTTGGATGAGACTGTATAAACGGAGGTCCCGTGTCGCAGTAGGTGCTGGCAGGAAAAAGATCTCTCACTGTTCAATTGCCATAAGTGCCGAGTATAGGACAAAATTTGCAGCTCTCCACCGGCAAGTGGTGGTGTTTCCATATGAGTGAAAAATACTAGAGATGGACGTTAAACAACATACACACAAACAGAACAATATACAGCAAAACTTGTCCATTCCAGATACAAACGGCTGCAAATAAATTTGGGGGATACAACATTCCCGATTAGAGGACATTTTTGCCAAATGAATTAAATTTATTAAAAGGATCCTAAAGTTGGTATTGTATTAGACAAGATTTTGAAATTCACATTATCCAGAATAGACAAATTAAGTTTGACTGTACTTCAAAAGAATGTTTTGTCCCGGCTTTCGTTGAAAGTGGGGGATATTAATTTTCTTCTGTCTATCCATCTGTCTGTCAATCTGTATTTCTGTATGTCTGTAACACTGTCGTTTTCAATTTTGCTGAAATTTTATATCTCTCTATTCCTATAGCCTAAGGAAGTCCCCTATTGATTTTGAGATCAAGCAGTCAAAGGTTAAGATCTTAATTCATACATTCTGTGTGTGTGTAAACCTTTCATTTCAAGGCGATGTCCCAAGAAGCTTTTGAGTTTTTGCAATTAAATTTTATATCATAAATCCCTATAGCCCTGCCTGCCCTTCTTTAAGCGCCTCCCTCAACCCCAACCCCCTAGATCTGCGCATGCTCTACTTTTTTGCTTAAGGGGGGGGGGGGACAAAGAATTAGCTTGTTTAATCATCTATATACCGTCGATCTTCGGTATCTCAAACACTGATTTCTCGAATACCATGAATATGTCAAAGTGATCTGGAAGTTCCAATAACTTTTCCTTAAGTATTTTACTCTGGATATCGCGAACCCTCAGATATCTCGAAGTTTTTTCTCGGTCCCATCAGGTTTGAGATAACGAGGTATGACTGTATTTCCATGAAGATATTAGTTATTGGACTGTGAAAAATTAAGGATGACACACAACATACAAGCAGACAGACACCAGACACTCTGAGCTTTGATCAGAAAAGCTCAACTGATCCTTGGGCTCCATTGCACTAAAAATGGCAGTTTTAAATTAAGTATCATAAAATTATGTAATTAAGGATGACAAAATATTTCTCTCTCTCTTACCAAATAAAACATTTTTAAAACATGTCACATTTAATAGGGAGGATAATGGTTGCAAGTAAACACATACTCATCTTCTAGTGTAGCCATCAGAAGTTTATTTTTGTCTTCCTTCAGGGATAAGTAATGCCCATGGCAATAACCAATTCTTCTGAAGTAAGAAATAAAATACATGGAGACATTTAAATGAAGGAGTTATGGCAATTACCAGTGTGATAAAAATATATGTATATACAAGAGACCCAAGGACCTTAACGGTCACCGTATAATGTAATGATCTAAAGATTAAAACAAAATAAGCTGATAAATAAAATGAAATTCACAATTTTTGTTTCCCTTTACCCAAAGATGCTATATGCCAAAACTGGTGGAAATTGGTTGAGCAGTTTTAGAGGAGAAGCTGAAAATGTTCAAATATTAATGCACAACATCTGACAAAAACAGAAAACAAAACCAGAAAAATATTTACTCTTGTGGTAAAATGCATGAAAAAGATGAACTTACATTATTGATTTAGGCTTGAACACTCCAAATTCTTCCAGAATCAATGCATGGAATTCCTTCAAACCCTATAGATCAAATACAATATTTTATGTCTTGTTCATATCTGTTCTGAAATAATTTTATCATATATAACAGCATATTTGATATATATATATATATATATATATATATATATATATATATATATATATATATATATATATATATATATATATATATATATATATATATATATACAATGTATATGTAATGTTTTTAGTTAAAAATCTCTATATAGAGAAACTAATTCCACATAATTGATGTAACCTCCTCTGAAAAATATTAATGGTCATCTGATTCTACTATTGACTGGCAGAGAGAGTTTTCCTAGATTTTTATTCTGATTAAAAGTTTGATTTATTATGATGTAATAATATCCTCACAAAAACATGAAACCACTCTATAACTTCCCTGTAGCTAAGATAAAAACAACTGTCAATGAGGAATTGTGAATAGCATAAAGAACATTTTTTTATCACCAACACTTAAATACCTTTGGTTTATATCTTGGGAATTTCTTGTTTTCTTTTTTTTTTCATTTGAAAGTAGTTAATTGAATTAAAAACTGATAACCTGTTTTTGATAGAATTTATAATGATACCTTTCCAAAAAGTTTAGCTCTCTCCTCAATTCCCTTCTCAGAATTTCTCAATTCTAGGGCTTCATTCAGTGGCTGTCTTTTAATCCATCTGACATGCCTCCAATGTGGTTCATAGCAGCTTTAAATTATAGAACAATTAAAAATTATCACCTTGCTCTTCCATTTAATTCAATACTTATGACAATTTGGCCATAAAATCTTTGTTAAATGCAAAGAAGAGTTCACTGGTAATTGATTAATGATTTTGATACCAGTGTTAAATAGTTTATTACTCTTAATTCCAGCTCTTTTTATAAAGGGGGTGGGGGGTGGGGTGGGGGGTGTAGACGATATTTTCCATTGAAATCTGATTTGAAAGCATCAGCTTATTTTAAAATATTCTTGGACATAAATAAACGTTCCTGAAAACTTTTCTTATGTTTTATGCATATAGAATACACCATTTAAGATGTAAATCCCTTCAAAATTTGTGAGAAACTGAGCATTTCTGTTGTTTTTTGACTTTAAACGTATGCCCCCCCCCCCCTTGTGAAACACAAAGAGCTTTGATATGAATTTGTGAAATAACAATCCATATTAACTGTAAAAAGGAAATTTTGTTTCACAGGGGGGGGGGGTGTTTTAAAAATATTTTCCATTGATTTCTATAGTGAAATACACAAGTTTTGCCAAAAATATAGAGTTATCTTTCTTTGTTTTCCAAAAAAAGTAATGTTTCATGAAAATTCATAAAAATATCAATATAATATGAAAAATCATTCAAATATGTTAACTTTTCGTAATTGACTTGGAGGTAGGCAGGAGAACAATACTATCGTTCGCAGTTCTTTGTACAGTGCCTAATATTTTCTAAATTACCAAAATTTTCTAGTTTAAAAAATAACCCATCCTCTGGTCACTTATAATCTCTGAGTGAAATATATGGCCATACAATGTTTCAAACAATGTTATGGAACTGACTTTTAGTTTACACCATAACTTTCTACCAGTGTACCACCAAAATATGCAAAGATGAAATATTGCCGACTCGAGGTAAATCAATAATAATCAATCAATCAATTTACCAGCAACATTGAACTTCTGACAGTGACCTTGATTCAGGACTTACTTTCAGATGCCTAAAGTTTCAACTTTTGATAATTATGTATTAGAGAGTAATAAATTCATACTTTCCCCCTTCCACCCCAAGGTCATGACATGATCGACTGATTAATTGAATGGTGTTTAACATCCCATTTGAGAATTTTTCTCATGGGACGTTATGACACATCCTCAGGTAATAAACAATCTTTGTACCAAGTATGACCTTCAAATGTCATAAAGTTATGACATGGACATAATTGCACAGACAGATCGATAACTAGGCAGACAAGTGATTCCTATATGTACCCCCAGAACTTTGTATGATTAAATTAATTAAATCATTGAGCAAATTTGCATTTGAAAGTCATTGGCAGCTGAAATCATCAAGTCTCCTTACCTTGAATTACCTTCTTTTAATCCAAGCACCTCTTTTAGCTTTGCCTTGATGTGATCATCAAACTGTAAATCCATGAATTTTTCATTATTAAGATGGTTCATGTATAGTCCAAACCAGTTGTTATAAATTTGCTTTTGAGATTTACGTACCAAAACTGATATCTTGTGGCCCAATATGTTTGCAGTTCCTTTTATCAACACTCTCCCTGGACATAACTGGCATAATGCATTCATAAGCTTCTTACACTGTTCAGTCTACAAATGAAAACCAGTGTAAAGGATTATTGCATACACTGAATGAAAGATATACAATGGTTTCAGCCTGGGTATGTTTGTTGGTAGAGCACCTAACAAGTGATTCAGGGGTTCCGAGTTAAATTCCCAATACAGCCAATCATTTTCTAACTCCCTATTATAAACAAATGCTACTTGAAAAAAAAATTATTCAGCCCCACTCAATGTATTATTTTACAACACACAACGAAAAAACATGCAGTTCTACCTTGTGTTGAGCATTTATGAAGATATTAATAGCTATTTCCTTATTTGTAGATTTATTTAATGAAATAAATATAACCCCCCCCCCCACACACACACACACTTTTTGGGCAAAAACACATATATAGTTACTCACATGAGCTTGCACACTCTCATAAAGCCAAGATACACTCTCTGTTAATGACTGGTCTGGAGATGTGTCTTGCTTTCTTGACTTCAGACATGGTGCATATCTGGACAAAAAAACAAAATAGGTATTATAGCTGACAAACTGGAGTATGAACCTTACCTGCTGCATGATGTAATATTTACTCATACAAATTTCTTTTCCACAAATGTATTTCTTAATACCCATTTATAGAATTTTACTTTGGGGTTCTGCAAAGCTGTATACTTACAGTAGAAATATATCGTAATTTAAATTTCTTACAGAAATAAGAATGACATATTAGCTGTACACAGTTATTGAAACATTGAATTCTATAATAATACAATCACTTGTTATTTGCATGAATTTTATTTTGCATAGCTTATGTTCAAAATTTTCATTAATATGTCTAAGAATTGTACTTATTTAAATATTTATATACACAGTGGTGACAAATATTTGTAATTTTTTTTATGACTTGTACTTACAAAATAATCTCATGAAAATAATGTTTACGGACCACAATTAAAGTGTTTTACAGGGCTCCCACATTTCAATGGAGGGCCCTGATTATAATAATTATAAAAATTAAAGTAACATACATAAAATATTTAAATGCAAGCATGCACAAACAACAAATTCTTTTAAGAACATCGGCAGAATTCTCTCCCTGTTTTTCAAATCCATACATGAGATCAAACAACCTGAGGACATGTATACAATACATGGATAACAGTATTAACCATGTATTAAGACTTATACTCAGCAAATAAATGCCTATTATAACAAATCAATATAATCCCATCCATCACTTAATCTATCAATTAACACAAGTTACAAAAAGAAACCAGCCCATTCTTAAACTTGAAATTTTCCCACAAATTCTAATAAATCATTCAACCTTTTCAGATGTTCTGGAGAATAAATGAAGAAAATGAATGGATATATACCCTCTGGATACCTGCATTGATTGATTAAAAATTTTGACTTAATTTAGCTGTAACACATATTTTGAAGGAGAATTACACTTGAATTAATTGACAACTTGGGAATGTTCGCAAATTAGTGAAATGAAATTGTATCCCCTTTCTTGGCCCAGATAAGTTTGAAATCATGTCTTTCCAAAGATTTGTCAAACAGGTGAAATCAAAATTGAATTTAAGCAGAGATTATTCACTCTGAACCAGAATTTTTTTTAACTTATCACTCTCATGCTAAAACTTTTGTACCTTCCCCTTAAATCGGGATATATGTATGAACTTCTCTTTCTTTTCTGGAAGGCAATCATCAAGTAAATAAGTATATGTGTGTATATGTATGAAAATAAGTCATTTTTAAAGTGAACTATATGAATGTTTTAAGACTTGCCATAAAAAAATCTGTAGAAAGTAATATTCCACTCTATGAAGACTTACTGTGAAAACACTTATTTCTGTGAGCCCCTTTTTCGTTTTTGTGCAACAATTCATTAACCCACAAATTTTGTAACTTTGTGTTTTGTAACTTTGTGTTCCAGTTACAATATGAAATCCTCGTAAAAACCATAAAAAATGAAGAAGAGAAAGTACTGTATGTGTACATATAAATTAGGGATGTGCGATTTTATCGGTAAACCGGTATATCGTGATTTTTAATTGTGTGATACGTATCATGATACGGAGATAAAAATATCGGTATTTAGGTACATTGTTAAACATTCCAGAAATTATTTATTTTTTGTTCAATCTTTCAAATTACGATTTCAGGAAGTGTAAAGAATGTTGAAAACGAACGCGACAAAGAACGACATCCTAGTATCCAAAATTGTCCTAGTATCCAAAATTGCTTGATATTACATAAATAAAAAATGAAAAAAGTTGAAGTTATGTTTTTCTGGCATATTTTCGGGAAAAAATATGAATATTCATCTAAAATCATTGTAAAATTGCTTGTAAAAATATCATGATATTATCGTGATATTTTAGGGGGAAATCGTGATATATCGCAATACGAAATTTTTGGCGATACCCATACCTAATATAAATTGACGTATTCAAATTTAGTGCAATTACTAGGTATTCAACGGTTGGCATAATCATGAATTAGCTCTTAACATGTCCAAACCATGTATTGTATTTATTAATGATTTATTACCGGTATTCATGAATTAGCGCATTGACATCCGCGCCAAAGATGCTAACATATGAAGCCCGCTTTTTTAAGTACACACACAGTAAGTAATTTTAAAGTTACATGTACTTTCAATGATTTACCTTCTGCGGGTCTTTTCTTAAATTGTATTCCAAGCTGACCTTAAA